TACAGCAGTCAGTCAGGTCATGGCGACCCATTTGAAACACAGAACACTCACTTTCACCAACCACCGCCCAGCCCCGCCGAGATCCGTCTTTTCAAAAAGGAACGCGACCCCCGTGTGCTCCCTCTTTTGGTAGTGGCGACGACCAGCACTAACCGAGGCGCGCTCGGCGCTCCCCAAGGCGCGCACGTTCCCCGCAACAAGAAAATGTGACGCATGTTTTTGTGGGTCGCCGTGCTGACTGGGCGCTGCAGGTTTCGGTATTTAACTTGTAAGCTTCTGCTCTCGCTCTACTCATTTGGCATTGGCATCGGCTAGTAGCTTCCTTGTCTCTACCCCGGTAGAATCAGGCCTTGAGTTCCACGGTGTCATTTTTGGCCTTTTTAGCTTTTTATTGTTGCTTCAGTTATTTTAAGCCATATGACGTTCATTTTGCCTATTAGGCCGTTTTGCTGTTGTTTCAGTTATCTAATTATCTTAAAACCGCTGATCCCCCGCCTATTTATTCCTTTAAAATTAGGATCGCCCTGTAGACTGATTATTTTTACTCCCATTACGCCAGACCTTAAAATCGAGAGCTTGGATCTCCATTATAAGTTTTATGGTTGATTCAGTTATTTTAAGCAAACCCCCCTCCACATTTTTCCTTGGCATGCTATTTTCTGCAACAAACATTAGACCGTTCCGATCCCCCCAATTTTAGTTTACTTCTGCCACCATCCCCCTCCCCGCTCTATAAACATTCATAACATCAAAACGCCCACTTTATCACTGTTCTTGCCCCACCCGCAAAATGGTTGGAACCTGTTTTCCCTCCAGATGACGTGTTCTTGGATCGCATTTTTGCAAAAAGCCACCAAACAATGTCGGCTGTTTGTTTTGCTGATAACTCAGCCCCGGTTCAAGAAAGCCATGGCAGCAAACTGATGCTTGACTCACCCCCCCCCAACCTTGCAAACCCCCTTGCCTAAGGGATGGAGGTGGTCTGCTTTTTCGCAACCCCCTCACCCCTCCCAACATATCCAAAGATCCTCTTCCACACGGAAATAGTGCATAAGCCGGACAGCTCCTCGTGCCGAATTCCCATCCGCACATCAGTTCCCACGCCTCCTCCCCGCCCCAAAAAGGAGCAGCCGCGCTTCTGGCGAGTCGGCCAGGCTAATGCATGTTGCGTGTGGTGGTGGTGCTCCTAATCCGGCTACACTCTGTTCTTCCCTCAATAGGTGTTCTAGTGGTGTGCAAAAAAAGTCGACAACGCTGAAGCGGGGAGGGTTGGAGAAGGAGGTGAGGGGTGGAGGAGGTGCGGCTTTTGCTCGCGAAAACCGGGTTGGTTCGACTCGGTGGTGGTGGCTGAAAGCTTTGCCCTCCGCCCTCCCACCCGTAGTGAGTCGTCGCGTGTTTCCAAATGTTTATTATTTTCCCGGGACGTGTGCGGGGGGGGGGCGGGGGTAGACCGGTCTCGCGTACTGGTGGCAGACGGGTGTTTGTTTTGCGTCGCTTTGGTGGAGTGGTAGGGGGGCTCGACGCGATGGTGGTTGGTTGGAGGGCTGTAAGCATGGAAACATTTGCGGTGTTGGTGCCCCGGGATTCCGCGCCCCCTCCGCGCTGCTTCAGACGGCATCCGGTTGGTGGTGGTTGTGCCGTCACGGGGGGGGCGACCGTGTCCCGACGCGCTTTCCCACCAGCTCCCACGCCCCCCTTGGAAGAACATTCCGCAACCCCCGGATCCGCTTGCTTTCGTAGATTTTCGTGCCCTTCCCCGCATCCGCCTCCCTCGTCGGACATCCCCCCCCCCGGCCAGTCGTTTTTGTCACCTTGACGTCGATTCTGGAGGGTCGTCTGGACTTTTAGTCCGCCATTCATTTGCAACAGCGTGGCTGAACCTTGCTTCACACTACTTATTTGCTATTAACTTATTAACTCTTTGTTATTTCGTTCTACGTATCTAGTTTGTATTTTTCTTTGATATATGTGCATAGACTTACTTTTCATACTATTCTATGGATTCTATTACTTTCGCTCTATGAAACTTTATCCTTTAATTAGTTATCCTCTGGAAAACCCGACGGTTAACGCCACAATTTCCGTCATTTTCATTCTTTCCCGAAATTACATTCTTCAAACCCCGAAATCCCCTAATCTCCGACATTCAAAAACCAAAATACAGTAATCCGACTCCCCAGACACCGGACTTTGCATGATGTTTCAAGAAAAAGCACTAGCTCCCCGGCGTGGTGGGTGGTCCCGAGATTCCCTACGCCTATAGCGGAAAAAACTTTAATTTGGCCTATGTGGAGCGAACCCGCCGGGGGGATCCGTCTCCATTTTTTGTGCGCTACGTTGTTGGGTCGGGAAGGGTTCGGAGCGAATGGGCGGCCCGTTTCGGAATAATCCCGTGAAAGGCCATCATGGGTAGGTTTCTTCGAGCTATGTGTGTATGTGTGTGTTTGCAAGCCTTTGGCCCTCCGTTTCGGGGTATCATGTTTGAACAGGGCATCAAATGACGGGTTCAAACGTTGCAGAGCCCTGGTGGCCCCCGTGAGGGAAGGTATAGCCAAGTTGCGGGTCTCAGGGCAAAAAAAGAGGGGTGGGCCTGTTGTTTTGTGCTACTCCCGAGAAAACACATGGGAAGCTACCGGGGATGGGGTGTGGGCTTTTTGACCCTAGGGGAATGCAACAGTTGCTGCTTTCGCTTAGCCCTCGGCTGGAGGGAGCACCTGCGTGTTCATGCTCCTCACCGCCTCGCCTATAACCCACATTCAGTGGGGAGTCTTTTTTGTTGAAATGTTTCCGGAAATGGGGTTGGGTTGGCTGCAACTCGTTCTGGTTTTGCTGGTGGAGGAACATACTCGTTGAATGACTCAGCTAGCTATCTCGATTCTTGAGACAAGACGATTGTCGAGTGGGGTGGTTTATGTTGATCTGATTTTATCAGTGAAGGGATGCCCCCGGGGTTTAACATGGGGGCAACGGTCATTCTGGGATTTCGTCGACATTCCTTGTCTGCAGCTCTTTCTCAATGATTTCATACAACTTCAAACGCCTTACATCCTTTTTGTCCCACCACCAGATGTGGAATAACCGACCAAGATTCATGTCCTTCCACTTCGTACACTCGCCGCATCCCATATTAGCGATTCCTCGTCCTAAAGCGAGCACATACACGCGTCCTTTGATCCCCTACTACCTGTCCTGAATCTCATTTCAGTGTGCTTCTTCCTTCGCCTCTTTCTCCCCGCCTTGGGGGGCTGGACTCGTTCCGCTTCCCCCCTTTTTCCATATTCCGACTATGTGTGCAACCCATTGCTGGCTGTGCATGTTGCGTCTCCTGCGGCGCCCAGCCCAATTATGGCCTGTTTTGCCCCAAAAACGCAGCGCCATCCGCCCCTGGGGTTCAGTCCCTCTATGATAACGGCCCGAAGGCGAGGCGTGGGGTTTTTTTGGGGCTGGGTGTCGTGTTTGTTGTCAGCCGTATTACTTGGGCCCCCTTGGTCGCCGGTTAGGCGCCGGCGCTTATCTGGGGCAGTCACATGCAGTTCGTTTTGGTCCGTGAGTTTTTTTTGGGTTGGTAAAGGCTCGGAGGTGGAAGAAAGGAGGGAATGGGGATAAGAAAAACAGAATAAGGCAGTTTTGGGTGGTGATCAGAAAGCGGGAGGGGTTTATCTGGTCTATTTTGGTATTCGGTGGTAAGGAGGTGGGAAGTTCTGTTCATCGAATCTTGCCTTAGCAATGTCAATATCAAACAAACCTCGATGCAGTTTCAATCAAATAGTTGCTGAAAGTGCGACTGACACCGGTTTATCAACCCCTCTCACCACCCTATCCCAACCGACCCTCTCGTTCTGTCTGCCCTACTCTCGTACAAACACTGAATGGCGCAAACGGCTCTGAATTATGTTTGCTTTTTTTGGCGAGGTGGCAAAAAAGGGAGGGCGGACAGGTCGCGTGGCAGTGTCATAACAGGCGGGTCGGTCCGAGCGCCCGGGCGGTTGGTGCAACTCGGGCATTTTGTGTGTGTCGGCCCTCCTCTTCATCCCCTCCCTGCTCGTCCGTTTCGCAACGTTCCCAAGCGAGAGCGGGGTCCGGGGGTTGAACTGGGATTAGAGGCCGACCATGCAAAACACGACTTCCAGATGGCCCTCCCCACCACCAACCAACCCCCGGCCGACTGCCAGCTGTGAACACGGCATTCAGCATTTCCATTTTCAAGCCTGTCAACCCTCAAAAACCCGAATCGGCAGCCGCTGGTTGGCTAAATGTCTGACTCTTGTCGTTTTTTATTGTTCACTATTGCGAAAACTCTAGCTAGCTTTTGGGCAGGCAGAACATTAGCTTACTGTAGTCACAGCAAGTTCTATTCAAACTTCTGAAACCTACTGCCTTTTGGTGTACGCGAAACTTCTCAAACGACTGCATTAAATAGTTCTTCTCTTTCTCTTTCCTACCGTCTTTGATACACCTCTTGCGTGTCCACCTCTACTTATATATCTACTCCTTTTTTACTAGGTCTTTGATCCGTCTCGATATACGTCTCGCTCCTCCATTTTCTCTCCCATAACATCGCTCCAAAAATTTATTTCCTGCAACGCCCAAATCATTTATTACTTTCGCTTCTAGTCGGGTCACACCTTTTTTAGCTAAAACCGCTAATGAGCAGCTCTATGCAATCATGAAAGTTCGTGGGGCGGGGGCTGTTTTTGTTGAACAGACCAGGTGCTTGTGAGGTGTTCGTTTTTCACTTTCCGATTTGGTCCCTGGTGAGGGTTAAAAATTAATTGAAATGATAAAAGTTAGCCGCGTATTGCTGCTCCCCGCTTTGGCCCCACCCACCTCAAGACAAAGCATTATTCTCCTGCTTCTCTGCCTCGTTTTTCGAAACTTTGCAAGTTATGTTTGCATTGTCACAGTCTCAGGGCCAGCCATTGAGCATTTTTCGGTCGTGGCGTTCACTGATAACGGGCCTTTGAAACATTTTTTCCGTTGACAATGCCCTTTGATTGCAGATGGATCTGATGCCAGGAGTGTTGCGGAATACGCAGAATTTGATCGAATTGATGGAGAGCATGGGGCCGGCTGGTCATCTACTGCACCAACTGCAGGATGAAAAGGTAACCACATCCTCGAATAGCTTTTATTATTAAAATTTTTAGGCTGCGCAACTTGACACCATGATGCAAACGGACACAATCCCGCTCAGCCCGCCGGCCAATTTCGAAAACCTGCACAAACTGTCCACCGCCTCAGCCCCTGCTTCGGCAAATCCAAGCCAAACCAACCTCACCGAACAGAAAAACATGGCGCTCGAGAATCTGGAGCGACCATCGCTGTCTTACAAGGATTTGATCATTGAAGCCATTGAAAGCAGCCCCGAGAAGCGGTTGAAGCTCAACGAGATCTATCAGGTGCGTCGATATTCCAATTTCACTTCCCTCCACATTCGGATTGCCTATCGCCTTGATAGCTGATTGACGAGCTTGTTTTGTGGAGTTTCCCTTTCCGTAGTCACTCGTAGCTCTCCAAGTCTGCCCTACTATCTCAATTGACGGTGTGAAACTGAAAGTTCCCACAGTCTCGCCCTTCAAAAGTCCCCTTCCCCACCAGAGCTCCCCACCCGGGTTCACCATCTCCGCCTCACAACAACCAACACCCCGCAAATGGGAGCCTGGCGAGTGTTTTGCCATGGACTACGCACCCGCCTCACAATCCCCCGCGCGCCACTTCCAAAAAAGCCCATTATAAATCATTTCCGGTAGATCGGCGGGGCGCGAGCGCGAACTGGAAACGGCACCGAGCCTTTCGTCGAATCTTTTCAAGGTTTATATGATATGGTGTTTACTTTTGGGGGAAACAGTATTCTAGGGAGCCGGAAACACCTTTCACGCAATCCCCCCACACAACGATAACCAGTCCCATGCTCCCCCTCAACCCCCCATCCATGTAGCGACATTCTGGTATTTGATTTCGGGGGAGGAACGCGCGTGTGTATGCTTGTGAGGCGCACTGTTCAAAACGGGTTCTCTTCAAAAAAAACCCTCATCCGGAAGCCTCGAGCCTCTCTCACACAAGAGCTGGGTGTTAAATCTTGATAGTACATCCCAACCCCCCACCTGCCCCTCCATCCCATCCATTCAATCCGAAAATTCACGGGAAACCCACGGTCCCACGGCCTCCCTAATCGAAAGTTTCCGGGATCAGGTCAAAGGGCAAAATTTTGCAAAAGCCCAAATGTTATTGTTCGCCTTGAGAAAGAGGGCCAATTCAAAAAACGCCTCGCCGAACAATGGAACCAAGAGCGCCGAACTTGCGGGGGACCATTGTTTTGGTTAGCATTGAAAATTCTTGGTGACCCCTTTCTGGTGACGCTAGAATGGTTGCAAGAGAGCCCGACACCACGCTTCAACCATTTCCCCTTGGCCTTTCGTTTTGATCTTTGACTAGTGGTTTGTCACGTAGTTTTGGGGGTCCTACCGCTGCAGCAACTCAAACCTAGATTCTGATTCAAGGTCTCATTTCCCGGCTTTACTTCCAGTGAACCAAAACTCACATGAATGATTTGGGCGACTAAGGGGGGTGGTGGGGTGCTGATGCGGCTTTTCATCTTCTTTTTCTCATGCGATTCTATAATGCGGATCCTCGAGGCATGGGGGATCGCGCGGGCCCCTTCATTACGCACACTGAGGTTTGAGTCTAGGAGGAAGGCCAGCCGAGGCGAAAAGACGATGATAGAAAGAAAAAAAACACACACTCAGAAATTCAGCGCCGAATAGGGAAGGAGTCGGGGAGTCAGGGGGAACACAACGAACATGACATAGCCAAAGATCTTTGTCTCGCATAAGCCGTCCCAAGAGTTCCTTGCCCGCGAGAAATGGAAAATGAGGGATGTGGGACAAAATTCCCGAAACAGAAAGCGTACTTACCGATACTAAAATAATTCTTTCAGGTGATCCGCGTCCTCCACCCCTACTACCGACTACGCCCTGACCAATGGGGATGGCAAAACTCAATCCGGCACAATCTATCCCTCCATGATTGCTTCGTTAAGCTACCACTGAAGCAAACATCCGCCAGCGGTGTCGTTGGTGGGTCATACAGTAAGATTTGCGAAGAGACCTTTTCACTGCACCTGGCTTCTAAACGCTTCCTCCCTTTCCTATTGTGTTCAGCAACTGCCTGCCATTTTTGGAAGTTGGCCGTGCGTCGAAAAGTTTCTTCCTGTCAAATCCAGATGAATGTAGGAGAGGAGGCGACGTAAAGCTGCCCGAAAATGAAAGTCGACCATTTTGCAACGATTTAAAAAGGAAGAAAAATGGGGGTCAGCAAAATATAATTAGGAAACCATGCCAACCTGCCCGCACCATCCTTATAAAACCGTTTTATAACTTCTTGTTTAGGTCACTTCTGGACGGTTGTTCCGGAACTCGCCGACAAGCAGACCCTCCGGAGACGCTCAAGGCCAACCCCGAAGGCCCCCGGGTCGCGATCTGCAGGAGGACGAGCGCATTCGGCGCGTGAAGCACCGACAACGGAAGATCTTGGATCTGCCACGTCGAGCGATGCTTCGCCGTCACCATCGTCGGCCACTTCCTTCTCGCCCCCAACGGACATCCCGAAGCCGTCGCCGATGTACGCGTCAGATCTGCTTGGGACGCTCTTCGGAGAGTTGACAAAGTCACTGCACACGCAGGTCGCTTTCAACAACTATGCTACAAACTTCTACCAACAAGGTAAGTATACTTCAAGAAATTATTATTAGTCTTGGTCATCCGATAAAGCTCAATTCTAAAGGTCTTTTTCTAGGTCTGCTCAGCCAACTCGCGGCAATGGCCCAGCAGCAAACACCTCCTCCCACCCCAGTCACGCCATTAATGCCTGGCCTGGCGTCTCCGGGAGCCCTGCTCTCATCCCTCCACATCAATCCCCTCCTGGCCCTATCATCATTGGCCACTGGTGGCGTACTTCCACCTCAACCCGGCTCGCCAATGACCCATTCCACAGCTACACTCTACAACACCAGCAACCTCACACCTCCAATTATTTCCCCGATCGCTCGATCCCCCTCAAGCCCATCCAACACCATCCCCACACAGCTCTCGATGGTCCAAGACACAAATTATGTCATCTGAAGTACATTCCCTTATTCTCTCCCCGCACGTTAGGTCTTTTATTCCCAGCTCTTTTATGCGCTAGATTCAGGGGCTAGGTGTACGTCCTTATTGTGCGCTAGATCAAGAACCACCCCACCCTAGCCCCCATTCCCCCAACCCCAATTCTTTGATAATAGGCACTCAAAGCCACACCTTTAATAATTATTATTTTATGCGCCGATCCCTTGATCTCCCTGTAGTTTTATCGGCACGCCAGCGCGCTCGCCGCCCAAGAAAAATTCGGGGTCACCGGATGCGCGAATGTCCCCTCCCCCTCACCAAAGAAGATGGCAAAGATGTTGAATCTAGTCTCAACTCCCCCCTCTAATTCCTAAATCACAAAACTTGTCAGCTTCAAAGGTTGCCCCACCCGGTTTGGTTACTGTGTTGTTGATGTGCTTTTTATTCATTTTTGGAAAAATTCTCCGGTCGATCGGTAGTACACGTGTAATCGCGACTCTTCCTCACCACAGTTTGCATTCTTGTCTATTCTTCCCCGTCTTTATTTGTATCGCCGTTTTGATTCCATTATTTTGAATGTGTGAAACGTGTCATTGCTAGGTACCATTTTCCAATTGATCCCCCTCCCCATCACCCTTTCTCACAAATTCCTTGGATTCAGCGAGCTTGGTGTTATCCTTTTTATAGGAATTTTTATGCCCCCGAAACTATGAGCAGAATCTTCCTCCATTTCCGGTGTATTCCTTTCCCCCAGCCGAAAAGTTGTAATCCTGGTGAACATAGTGGTTTGCCGTCCTTTTTGAGTACTTCCGAGTGACTATTTTGTTCTCCAATTCGGATCGCGTGTTCTCGAATTCCTTTGTGCTTCCGTTCTTAATAAATGAATTCTTATCAATTATGAGAAATGCATATAATGTAAAATCAGGATCGGCTGAATATACAGGAAAAGGCGCACAAACTCGTAGATATGGGCAAGATGAGTGGGTAGTGAGCGGGTGGATGAGCAACGTTAAAATTGAGGAAAGGGGGCAGGGGAAAGTGGATACAGAATAAAGCTCTGGATGAGAAGTGAAGGTTTGAGCAGAAATACGGCGATATCGTACTACGTACTATTTTCTACTACTCAAGCTCTTCGATCGAGGCGAGGGGAACGGACTCGGCAGCCGGCTGCACCATGGCAATCGATGGCTCACGCTTCTTCTTCGTTTGCACAATATTCTAAGAATTATTTTTTAGTATGTTTTAATTTAAATTACATTTAATATTACACATAGGCTACTTTGCTTGAACTAGCTTACCGTCAGGAAGTGCGAAATGTAGAGCAGGAACCCGGTGAAAACGAAACCGCAAGACAAGAGGGAAAGCGCTCCGAACATCTGCACCGTCGGGAAAAGAATGACCTAATTATAAAACATTTTCAGGCTATCAATGCATTAATTTACCAGCATATCCTTGATCACCGAGAACAACTCGCAGATGGCCGTCTGAACTCCGAAAACAGTGTAGCGCTCGCGCTCCGGAATCGTTTCTTGCATAATTTGCGTAATGGCGGGATCGGCAATCCAAAGACCTGAAAAAAATTACATAAACTGAATACCTAAAAAAATATTTACCAAAACGAGCAGCCGTGATTCCAGTAAAGAAAAGGATGATCGACAGTGGCAACTGGAAGAAGGGCAACGTCGTCGCCTTATCAACATTTTGCATCGTTCCACCGCTCGAGATTCCTTGCAGAATCGTATCACCGAATGTCTAAAAAACACCACGTCATCCCATATCCTGCAACGGGTTTGTCTTTCTCGAAAAACACTTGATGCCATTTTCATAACAATGCGCCGAATGGACCTCTTGAAACCCGATATGGCCCTAGGATCTTGAAACAATGCAAACAGCCAATGGAAAATAGGGCAACAAACACAATGTGAAGCAGAAGAAGGGACGCTTACCTCGACGGATAAGTCGGAAATGTAGCCAGAAGCATTGAAAGCATTCCCGGGGAGGAAGGTTGAGGCTCCGCTGACGCTGATAGCGATGTTTTGAAGCTAGAATAAAACGGGCAATTATAGAAAAAATTGGTAAGGTTAATTAATCATCAGCAAACCCACGAAAAGTCCAATCAGCGCAGTCCAAAGTACGCCAATCCACGGTGCCATTCCACCGTATGAAAATGTGCCGAGGATGCCAAGAACCGCTCCAGAGGCCCTCAAAAAGGCAAGGTTCGTAGCCGACACTCCTTGATGCACTCCATATGATACAGCCAGCTAAATAACGTAATGAAAAGTGCCGGTCGGTTTTTCCTTACGTTATCAAATCCAAGTACCGTCATGTACAAGAAGGCTAGTCCAAGCGCCGCCTTAAGACAGCTCTGTCTATAATACGCCCTGAACGCGGCAACACCACAGACTGGCCGCTCATCCACCTCGAATTTGCCACCTAAACTTAAAATATCGACATTCGTGGTAGAGCCTTACCGTTCTTCGTGTGCAACAACCCAGTCTTTTGGTAGACCCAATACAGCACCCCACCCTCTAGAATCCATGACAGCATATTCCAGATGATATTGAAGAGGCAGACCACCTAGATTCACTTAGAATCCGGATTCTTCTTTGGAATTACCTTGAGACTATTGTGATCAATCAGGAAACCCGCGGAGATTGGAGCGATGACGTTAGCCACGTGGTCACAGACAACCATGATCGTATTTTGAGCTAATTAAGGTACAATAAACGTAGATGTAAACCTACTAGATAGTCGTATTTTGCCTTCGCTAGCCTCTGTCAAGACGACAATCCAGTCTTTGGTGAAGGTGATTTTCTGGGCTTCAGAGGTGACCCGTGAGATGGCGCCGAATAGGAGCGCCAAGCAGAGGCAGACCTGGAAATTAATACGTTCAGCTTTCTAGAAGTTTTGTAGTTCGATAAGGTGATTCGCCGTTTGTCCAAAAATACCTACATGTCTCACGAGCCGATGCTCCCGCGCCGTTTCCGTTTCGCCGGCAAAAAATGCGGATGCAGAGACAAAGATGCACACATTGTTGACGAGCAGCAGAATTTGAATTGCTAAATCATAAAAAATTATCGGAGTTGGCGGCAAGACTTACCTCGATTCCTGTTCATCTTGTCGAGTAATGCGCCGACTGAGGGCAGAAGTGCCAACTTTGCAAGACTGTCAACTAGCTGTTGAATGGCCACCCAACTCATGCCACCGATATCGGCCATCAGGATACCCACGGTGAACATCCAAAGCCGATCACCCTAAAATTCAAAGTTGAACACCTACGCTAACAACCGAAATATGTTTCGCAGCGGGGTTAGAAGACTTTTTTTCGTGTTTAGAAGGCTTTTGCATTTCCCATTTCCTACATGAGAGATGACAAGCAGATCGACGCAGCGCCAGGATCACAGGCCGTAAAAGCCGAAAACCCAAAACGCCAGCCATTTCGTTTGCTCATACACATTTTTCCGACACTGGCGTCCTGATTCCGTCGTCGCGACCTGGCTTTGTAAATGACAAATGATTAAAAAACATGCGGCTAACTACTTTTTTGATTTATTTTTTTCCACATTGTGCGTATCTTTATGGTTTTGATTCTTTTTTCTAGCGCCCCAACCAACCGCAGTTCCAACCATTCTTCGTGATAATTTCACTCCGCCAGGCCTTGGACTTTCAAAGTTCATTCGAATAAGCCGCTACGGCCACTATCTTATCATGCTTAACCCGGCGGGTCGGCGGCAAAAAAATGGAAAATTTCATGGATTTCTTGAAAAATTTTGGCAAAACTCACGAAGGCGCTGGCCAAGTAGGCGGCGTTCACCGTAGTCGTGACGCGCCATGTGCTAAATTCTGATCTAAGCCCATTTCGGGGTAGACTTACTCCTCCATGGCTTGAGGGCTTCTTCACCGGTGTGGCCGGGAGGTTGAAGAATTGGCTGTAATAAGGAAATGATGGACGCTATGTGAGAACAGCTACAAAATTGTGCGGTGAATTGTGGGTAGGGTCCAGGAGGGGCAGGTGGGAATGGGTTGCCGGGGGTTGGGTGGGCTGCGAAATGGTCTTTACGGGGTAAACCCATAAAAATGATTCACACTGAATTCAATTTAGTATTTGGATGTGATGAAACGATGAAGCGGATGGCGGTGGAATCAGATAATGGAGGGTAACAGTGTAAGGAGAGTGTCAAAAATCGAGCGATAGCTAGGGCGGGTCAAATAGGCTCGAAATAGATCAGTCGAAAAATCGGAAATCGTACGTGCGCGCGTAGTGATCACCTTCCATGTTTAAACTTTTCACAATCTTCGATGATATGGAAGTTCAAAGTTGCCGAATCTTAAGTTCTACCCGTTTTTCGTAATTTTTGGTCTATTTCAATCTTAATCGCTTGTTTTAAATAGATACATACTTAATATACTTAATAAACTTTTTTTTTGCCCGAGCCGTGTTCAGGCATACCAGGCCATAGCAAAAAGCAAAAACAAGCAATCCTTTAATAATATTTTTCTATATTTAGAAGCCTTACTCTATATATACCAAAGGCGTGACCGGGAACCGAAAAAATGCAAATTCACAGGGAGAAAACAGAGTGAATCGGGGCCCTTCCTCGTCGCCCGGGGTGCGCCGTGCGTTGATGTGTTTGGATAAGGGCCACGTCTAGCCCGAACGGGGCCATACCGGCTGGAAATGGCACCCACCGAATAGCACACCCAATTTAAGCGACAACAAAATGGATTTGTTTGGTCTGGGATAGATTAAATGAGCCGAAAATATGACTCATTTTAGAGGTTGATGACAACAAATGGAAAAAGCGCAGAAAAATCAAGGGATCACAAAGGTTTTTAATTTTCCGTGATGAAAATTCTACATTAAAAGTAGGAAATCAGTAAAAAATCGGAAACTCTTACTAGCGTGAAAATTACAAATGGTAGTGCCCGCAAATGCAGCCAGGAAAACAATAGCAATCTGAAAAAAAATATTTTTTCTAAATTACTGGTTCCAAGCTAATTACACATGGAAAGTGCAGGTTCTTCATCGTGCCAAAATCAATTTCCATTCCTGCTCCGGGTTATCACCTATTGTTTATTTGGCTTTATCGCAAAATGGCTACAAACGGCCGTTCTTGATGTCAAATGCCACACGAGCCCCCCATGTTTTCCCGAAATTTTTGTCAGCGTTTCGCAAGTCCTATAAATTAAAATTATCTGCCAAAAAAAATTATAGCGAAAAGTAGCTCGTTCTGGGGGGCTAAATCCACGGGCGCAGAAAGAAATACTGCCTGTCCGGGCCGGTTTGAGACCCGCGATAAGCTCTGATAGACAGCGGGGGCTTATTGTTGAAATCTGCGGAAATCACCGGGCGGTGGTGCATGCTTGGTGCATAGGGGCTTGGAGGGTCTATGTGAAAAAAAAAATGCTCGACAAAAAGGCAGACTAATAGGACAGCCGGCATAAAACACTTTGCACCAGCTAGTTGCCCACGGCGACCATCTTGAGACCGGCTGGTTTGCGGGGGGCAGGGCTGATTGTTCCCAGGTTAGTCATTAGTTTTTAATATAGAAATTACCTATCATTTAAAGTAACCACCTAAACTTATAACTTGATTTGTTACGCAAAATGATAAAAAACAGATGGTTATTTCCAATTACAAGCAAAAAATGGTCTAAATATAGCAAGACCTAACCCGCATAAATTTGAATGAAAGGCCTGTTATGAGATAGAATGAACTGGAGACGGCAAGCTGACGGTTTCGAACATTACACATTTATGCAGACTGCCCCTCAGAAAAACATACATCGAGTCATCAAGCCGATCTGTCTGGCGGGAATATGTTTTCGATTTTTTTTTGAATTTGAGGCAGGCGCTAGTTTAAACAAAGCATTGCTCTGAATTGGCAGGAAAGTCAAAATGAAATGAATCATGCTATCCCGGCTTTATGCACGATAACTCTTACAGGTTAGCTCTAATATGAAGGAAAATTCATGAAAAACGAGTGCGTGCGCAAAGTGCCGTTGATAGTCCCAGCTTCCGGTATGAGCGGGCTTATATGCACATACCATTTACCATATGGTGACCGGGGCAGCGGTCACCACGAGTATCAATGTTTATATTCCCCCGTCGGCTTGGGCTTTCAGAAATTCACCCCCACGTCCATGTGGGGCCACATATGGTTACGTCGGCTTCTCCAAAAACGATTCCTTCTTTCAAAAAATGCCCTCGTGCCGCTGACCTCTTCTAGACGCACTTTCCAACGGGAAACCGGCCTGCATTTGACGATATCCCAGCTTGTATTAAGAGGGTGGTTAACTGAGATGCTTAATAGACCTTCATTTCCGTCGAATTACAAATGAGTGTCGGAAGGACGGCCACTTTTTTTATTGAGTGCACCACATTTTTCAACCGAACCTTCTATTCTTCTCGAAATTCGATGGTAAAGTTGCACGATTTTTACCAATTCCATCGTTTTTTGCCAAAAGTTCTAATTTCTCCAAGAACATACATAAAAAGAATCCTAAACACTTTTTCCATCGTAGCTACAATTTTTCCTCGCAAACGAATTGTATCAGGGGCAGGCAACAGGGAATACCGTATTCCTAAATTATACAGAGTATCCATGTGCCCATGATGCGCACAACCCAAAGAGTAAATACTTTCAACACCACATTTTTCCTTCGATCCTCACATGATTCCCTAAAACAGGTTCCTATTTAACGCCCCCGCCTGATTACCTCATAACGCTTATGCCCTAGGGCAGACCCGTCCATCCTGATGGTCGGTCCGGTTTTTGCTGATTGATTGAGGACAGGGATGGAGCCTGGCCCGGATTTGGCACACTATCGTTCCGTTTCACGAACACCAGTCTGCTGCTCCCCCCACAGCCCTCTCGCTCATTGCCCCGAATTCCCGTTAGCCCCTTGCCTCTTTTCCCCTTCGGGAGCATCAGTCTCGCCGCGCTCCTTTGCAACACGTTATGCCTATCAGCTTTACTAATTTTAATTACGAGTGCGATTTTATTCTCCTTCGGTTAATTGCTAATTAATATTTTAAGTTGAATTCATAGAAATTCTGCTAAACTTCAATTCCCGTTCGGAATCACCCCCGGCAGGGCTTACTGTACCGTCTATAAATATGTTTTTGCCCATTTGATTCTTTGTGAGTATTATTACTGCTTAATTTTGAAGCTACAGGTATCACATTCTCCAATTCTGCACTCATTACGGTGTCTTTTCGAGCAATTTCGATTATCTGGACTCAAACCACCAAAAAATCTGGCTCCTCTTACCCTTCCATTACACAACCAACCACGAATGTTTTGAAATCCATTACCCTTTGCCCATATTACCTCTTCTCCACGATCCACCACCCATTCCCCGGATTCCCCCGGGTACAACAATAAATTTATCGCCGAAAACAACCTTGGCCAAGAACCTGTTGATGACTAACCCATGTCTACCAACAGGTCCCGAAGTTTACACATTTACCTCGCGCCCTCCAGTTAACCCTGGAAGTTTCCAGGTTTTTTTAATTTCGCGATCGTATCGAAATGTCGCTGCCCTCCCCATCACCCCCTCCAACCCATCCAGTGCCCTTTTTGCGCAAACAAAACTTTTGTTATTTCTTCGTGTGGATGGCCATTTTTCAGTTTTGGTGGGCCGGGCTGCCGGGCGGTGCTCGAGACTTTTGTAATTGACTGTGGTGGGATATCCAATCGGTGCGTGGGGGAGCAACCGGCTGGTCGGTTCATGTCGGTGAGGTGGGTTGACCCGGCTATTCACTTTCACCAATTCCGCTCCATCAGGTATCAGGCCGTCGATGAAAACGAGTGCCCGGAGGGGCCCTATTTTGCGGGGTCGCGCTCCGACAAGTCGCCGATTATTTATAACAGGTAATTTTTGGTGTCGGGCCTAATTTTTACACTGTTTTCTCGCATATTAGCAGCAAAGGTCAAGCGTCCCATTAATGCAAAAATTTTTAAAAGAAGATTCATGTGTTAGTTCCCCTTAGTGGGCATTTTTATCTTCCATCAAAAACGTCACTGTTGCAGCAAGTTCTGAAAAAGACGCTAAAATTACAATTCATCAATTTTGTTAGTAGCATTTTTATTGTTGCAATATCTTGTTCCGAAACATACCTTTTTCAGTTTTTCAAATGATTCAAGCTGGAAAGATCTCTTGAGACTCCCTAATGAACCAAGAAAACGCCGACTCTTTATTGGTAATCGATCATTCTTTTTATTCAAATTTCAATTTGCATCAGCAGCCACCACTTTTGCTATAGCACTCTTCGTCTTTTTTATGCTCTCCGTTGCCGTCGCTAAAATCACCTTGATCAAAGGTATCAACGACGACCGCGCCAACACTAAATATGGTATGAACATCCGGATCGTAAAGTTCTTACCCCGATTCTTTCAGGTCTACAACTCATTCCCGATCTACGAGTACATAAATCCGGGTCTTTCATTTATTCCGCTTACAATAGCCCCTCCTACAATTCCATCAAACAGAAATACGTGACCGAGATTGACAAATTTTTGGATAGTAAGTTAATAGCAATGGCTGTAAGGTATCTGATTTAGTATACTGGAAAGAGCAGCTAGAACGCCAGCGGTATATGACTGATTGTACAGTTTATGACAAGGTGATTACGAGAATTTGGCCATTATCTATCTACTATATATAAATTTCTAATGTCCGTGATCCCGCCGACCGGGAATTCAGCCAAATTTTGCATTCAAATGCCAAATTCAAATTGTGGGGGGTCAGCGCTGGTACTGTTATAATTTTAGCCAAAGGACAAATGGTGTCGCTTTTCGGCCAAGAAACACTTCAAGACTAATGGCGAATGTTCTCCGCGAAATAATTATGGTTTCGACTCTGGCGAACCTTGTTTGCTGTTTGCTTTTAAAGATGTAGGCGATTTTTAAAGCCTTATAAATTTTTATAGGAAATAAATTGGTCGCCAGATTGGGTGAATCGAAATACTCTCGATTATTTGCCATTTAAATGTGAAATCGTAAGTTTTCTTGTAGATTGATGGTTTTTTGCGATTTAGAAAACTTCTTACAATACCTATGGTATTAACGCAACTTACTACCCATCAGTTGATGCCTATCCAGCCTACGGTGGTTTTGCAATGGATAAGGTGAGTGAGCAGAGAAAGTAAGACAATGTACGGTTCGCCCGTTTTCAGATCCCGTCATCCCCGATCAAGGGCGAAAACGGCTATGTGGTCGATAACGATGGAGAAATTTTATATGACCTTCCAGCACTGGCAAGTCGCCACGAACCGATTAATCCCCCCTATTTTTAGGTATTTGTTAAGCTGCGCCGTAATACCCACAACGTCAAGCTAAACTTTGTCTGCTCAATCAAGGACTCTGTCGAGCATTATCAGTTCTCAAACATGGATGCTTTTGTTGGTCTGAAGGATATTCGATTCACCATTGAAACATATGATGAACCCTGATCTCGACGCATGCGTAGATTTTTTATGTACAAACAATAAAAATGGTGCTTATGGTCGGGGGCTGGTGTTGAGCAGAAAACGGTTAAAAAGTGAAATGATGGATTTGGTCGTGGGCAGGCGTTAAAATTCTTGGATGTTGAATTTTGAGCCTAGGGGAGCAATGCATGTAAAAAAATTATAGCAGTAATTAAAGGGATTCTGAATGGACGGTGAAACAAACGGACTTGAGCTACAATTTCTGAAATATCAAATCCCTCTAAAAGTATTGAAGGCACAGTACGCTCGTAAAGTCTGGTGATTCATACAAATAACTGAGATGAAAAGGATGAAGGTGGCAATCGATGGGCGGAAGTGATTTCTAAAGCATTTTCTATTTGACGGTGCTGATATTGGTGATATAATGTGTTAGTGGGATGTGGTTACTTGAGAATCATAGGAAATGTTATTATTGGGTTAATTCGGTGACTTTGACATTTTTCATGTCGCCGTGGTAGACGATAGTCTGGGGATGGCGTGCCCGTTTCATGTCTCGAAGGTAGAGGAAATATTTGAAGACCGTCATTAGGAACCAGAGGGAAACGACCAGTCCAAGGAGGGCAGCGGCAATCATTACAGAAGATACGATGCGGATATCTGAAATCAATAGTTAAATATTGAAATTACGATATAAACAATGTTTCTTATTCAATTGTAAAGCGCCTCCATATTTCTACTTGTTTATTTGCCATTGCATGACTTCTCAAACCACCAAAAATTGTTTCCAAACACATTCCCCCCCTTCGGAGTGACCTTCAAAATTGGCGGCATTCCAGCTGATGGATACCAACCGGGGCAATACAACGATTTCCTCTTTGGGGGAAATTGGGGAAATGTTGCTGTTTCCAGATTAGTTTCAAGCCACCCTCATACCTTCTTGGTTCTCCACCAATCCATGGTCAGCCTCCATCGTCTGGTTGCCTCGCATCAAGAATTGGTTGAAGCCAGCACCGGGCCCCGACACCGGCTCGATCAAAGCCCAGATAGAAGAAATGAAGAGCAGCACGAATAAGATGATATTGATTGCCTAAAAATAGTCAAAAGTTGGATATTGCTCATACCATAAAGATGAAGTAGGGGATGAGGAACATCTCGTTCTCCTTCTTCATGGCTAGGAGCATCATCGCATAGACAAAGATTGCCAGGACAAGGAAGATCTTAAAGAAATGATAGTGTAGGAGGAATTTGGCGACAAACCCCTTGGAAGACCATTTGATTCAAGGTGAGGGTTCCGAAGCTCATCACCAAAATGTTGACACAGATGGCGATTAAGCCAAGGATGAAAATGTAGCGTGTTCCTGCCTAAAAAAATTGATGAAGCGGTTGTATAAGACCGATTCAATAATTCTTTGGGTTAAACAATATTTGGTTTTTGTTTATTTTGGAAATACAGCGAACGCCGTTTTAAAGCGTTAAAAAATATTATATTTGACCCATTTGACAAAAACGCAAAAACGAAGAGCCACTACCCACCTTGCAGTGAATCTGATGGAAGCAGCATAAATATTTGAAGTTATTATGCCGAAACGGCTCCTCGGTAAACGTCGCCGCAATATCATCACCAGCCGTCATCCCGAGCGCTGCAAATCAACGTGGAAACGTTTACCCGGCCGCCGAGAGGACAACCAAAAATCGGGGGCACACACGTCAAAATATTGTCGGGCTCGTCAAAAGAATGCGAGCCAATTACATAACTCCTTCAACGAGCACCACTTGAGCCACATTCTTCCGGCAGGGAAGCCAAAGAAAAAATAACAGAAAGGGGGAGTTTGGGTGAAGAAGGCCCGTGTTGTCAGGCTAAGCTTGGCGAAAAAAATCAGTGGGGATGAGGGGAATGACGGGAAGAGGAGATGGGGGGTAGCAGGGCAAAACTTTATCTAATTAGCTAGGGCACAGGAATGTTCTCCGGTTGATATCATCAGGACGTTCAACACAGCGCGGCAGATTTCGCGGTGGGGAAATGGAAAGCTGGGTGATTGCTTTTCGTTTTTTTCTTCAGGGAGGATAGCCGGGATGCAACTCTCGACGGGGTGGTTGATGTGGCAATTGGTCAAGCAATAAAGAGATCAATGGGATGGGTTGCCATGTGCTTTTACACGGACACCCACATCACAGTCGCATGAAAATTCTCAAGGACGGGGAGGAGCAGGAGCCAACACAACTGGTGGATTAGTTTCTGGGTCGACAGGACTTGTGCATGTGAGGAGGGGGAGTTGTTTACAAATAAAAGTGCGTAGACATTTGGTGGATGAGTGTTTTTCAATTTTCGGAGTCTTTGAAGTAGGGCACGTTTTTGAGAGGTCAGTTCAATGATAAGGAAGATATTTTGATGTTTTTTTACAGGGAATCGATTTAAGGTGCTCTTGGAGCTCTGCGATGTCACATATTTCATTCGATAGCGCTTAAAATTCTGTTTTGTGCGGGCTGATTTTGCGCATTTTTGTTCTGCGCTTGCCAAAGTACCTTTGGATATGCCTTTACCAGGGCCGTTTTTGTTCAGCGATTTTTGAAAAATGGGAGTCGTCCTGATTTTCAAGCTCTATCGAATGAGCTGATACAACACATCACGAAACCCCCAACAGTCCTTAAAAAAAGAACTGATTGTTGGTTCTATCCAACAATCACTTCCTCTCACCCTTAAACTTAATCCTAATCCTACCCAAAACCAATAATAAGTACCAAATAGGTAGGATCCTCGGCGAGAATGACTGCGGCTAATACCTTCCAATGGTGTAGCCTTCCCGTCAAGGCGACCATTTGCAGTGGCAGCGACATGAACTTGAGGTTGCGACTCTCTCAGTTCATCCAGGTCCATCTTCAACGCCTCGATCACTTTCCGCCTCGTCAACTGCGGCGATTCATCCTGTGGGCTAACCTCCAACGGCGGCAATGTTTCAGCTAGCGGCGGCATTTCCTCCGTATCGACTGCCATTCCCGAATATTCAGATGCGCCAAATGTGGGGCGGGCAAAAGTGATGGCGGGGGATTGGGATTTTGTGTATTTGCCGTTTGCATTTTATCCGCCCCGGCACAGCCGCCAGATTAACCGAAAAGCGGGGTGGGGCGCTCAGGAAATAACGAGGTGGGCAGCGTGTGATGGTGCGATTCGATGGCTAGTGGAGGACCAAACATTTAGCGGTCGGGTGAGGTGATCTGTGGAATTATGGGAATAGGTGTGAAGCGTTGCGGGGGGTAATATGTGCTAACTGGGGTCGGTGGCTGGCGACCAAACGGTGGGAAAAGTGAAAGCGAATGTAAAGAAGCAAATGGTAGGTTTATGTCGGTGGTTTGTAGGACGTTCTGGAGATAGGAGCGGAAGCGAGGGTAGGCTATTACAATATGATAATCGAAGACAGGAAAGGTGCCTCGGGATGGATTTGTCATCTGACAGGTATTTCACAAAATATGTTGGAGTTTCTGTGGAACCTAACGACGTACATTATCAATGCGACATGCAAAGTCGCAGCCCCCGAAATGTGCAAAAACTAAATAGCCTTTAAAACGGGCACCCATTCAGTCCACCGGGGTTTTTTACAAAACTTTTAACATCAGGTCAAGGACACATTAGCCAACTCCTTCTAAAACGCAAACCATGACTAACGGCTGCCCAAAAACCACGAATTTCGCCAGGTAACACCCTGGAATGTGCGGCATGCTAGCACCCGGATGAGGCATCGCCCGGCCCGAGCACGAAACTCAAAAAAAGAAGAGATCCGTGGCCAGCAACCCACACGCAAAAAGTCGCATTGAAGGAGAACAGGGAAGAATTGATCAAGTGGCCGATCAGCTGACATTGGGAGAATGAGGAAAACAGGCGGATAGATAGGTAGACCAACAACCTCTCTCAACAAGGACCCAAGTTCTGGGGGGGCGATGTGATAAATTGGGGATATATGCAAGGGCATTTCGGGGTTGGATTCCACATTTGTTGGGGGCGATAATTAAGGGAGTCAAGCCCGGTGTGGGGTGCGGCGCCCGAGACGTCGGTTTGCCGGCCAAAAAATGCTTCCAAGGTCATCAATCGCATCGAAAACATTTCGCGATCTTTTCAATTGAGAGATTGGCATGGGGAAATGTTTTTTGGATTTTAATGGGGGCGAAAAACATCTTAATGTACGGCTGAAGCCCGCTAAAAATGCAAACTTGCAGCGTTTAGGAACGAAAATCTATCTAAAGTTTTTTTGCTCTTTCGAAACTGTGACACATGTAAAATCCAAACCTAAAGATTCGCGATATTCCCATTACCATTTCCCTAAACAGTTTACAAACAAAACCATGTTGGCCCTCCCATACCGCTCTCACGCGCCCCCGAAAGTCGAAAAGTCATCACACCAAAGTTGAAAAGGCTCGGCACCGCCATCCCATGGATTCGTAAAATAACTCCCCGCACACATCCCAGGCCCTCATCGACCCTTTTGGAGAAACCGGTCACGAGACCATAAATGCTTTTTGCCATTACCTACTCCCAAGCATCGCCGCAGAGAGGCGACAGTTTTGGAAGGAACCGCGGAAAACCCCCGGATTTATGCATATATGAGTCAGAACTTTTAAAGTGGCGTCGAGGGATGGGAAGGGGGAAATCTTATGAGGGTGTGAGCTGGGGGCAAATTGAAAAAGGGGGCTCACCCCCGCTGTGAAGCTATCAACCCAAGACCGGCGCGACTTATGCGCGGTGCTCCTTTTCCGCCGCGCATCTTCTCCATTTCCAGGGTCAATCCACATGTTTCTAGCCACCTTTTTATGTGCCGTATAGACGGGGGAAGGTTGGAAGGAGGTGTCTTGTGGAACCGGAATTCACCAAATGAGTGGAGAGTGGGAGCTAATCTAAGCGTTTAGGAATGGTAAGCCTGAAGAATGTAGTTTTAAGGAATGATATTAAACTATTGTCATTTTGAAGTATAATAAAAAACATTGGTTATGAGATCAAAATATACCAAAAAACGCCAACCTTTAGATCGCAAGGGATGATATACTAGGATTGAACAAATGAACGAACACCCAGTTCTAGAGAAGAACTTATGCTTCCGATTTCGGCACACCTAACAGCCCGATCAACGAATTATTGCTTCCTTAACCCGGAGCCGATCCAACCCTATCGAAAAGTCATCGTTCCATCCTTCCTGTTCCGCAGCAAAAAAGCCAGCCCTAGACCTTTTTGTCCTCGGTGCCAAACTTCGCGGATTGAGCAAAGAGACGCGCGGGCCCGGAATGCAAAAGGTAAAAGAGATTACGGATTTTCGGGAGAATATGCCGTCCGTCGACGCGACTGGCCTCACCCCCCTTAAAAGCGTCCCGCCAAGAGAGACGGAGGGATCCACGGAACGCCCAAGTGGGGGTCTGAGGCGCCGTGTCGGCGCTTCCTTTTAGCTGAAAGTCAATAACAATACGCTTGGGTACTTCGGGGGAATCTGGCATCCCGGTAGGGGGAGGGGGGCAGTCGCTAGCGGAAAAAGAAGGATGTAAATATCGCGCTACCAGCACCCTAGCTGGGTAGGGGAGGAGGCCAATAAGATCAACGAGATAGATGGGCTTCTTATGTGGCCTTGGGTTGTGGAAGGTTAAAAATGGATTGGGACTAACGAATGAAGAAATCGGAAGAAGTTTTTCGAAAGGTGAAAATGTTTTTGGTTGAGATCTTTTATGCCGGCCAGAAAATCGCAAAATAGCGCATTAATAAAGATGAGCTGTGTTTATAATCGCAACGAAAGAATATTTTGATGTCCAAATTAAATCGCGAACGAACAGTTATTGAATAAATTAAAATGTTTTCGAATTTTTCAACCCTTTTCAGAACAAAGTCAGCATGGACCCAAAATGAAAAGTGAAAAAAGAGACGGTCCTTGGCAGTGCGCGGGCTGCTTTCAGACTGAATGTTATCCGTTTTAGCTCAGCGAAAGGCAAGCGCCCGAGACCGATGGGAGAGCCGATTCCAACTTTTCGCCCTCAACTCACTCAAAGCGGTCAAAAGAGGGCATTCCAGGTGTGGGCGGGAAGAGCGAAAAGCAAGGAGGAGGTGGAGGGGGAGCAAGAAGTGAAAGTGTGGAAATGATACCTCTGGGTTTTTGGGTATGGAGGGACAGACAAGCCCACGTGCCATCGAACACAGACACATCACTGTCAACGGAGGTACGAGAAAGGCCTTGGTAGCCACAAGGAGGAGGCGGGTTTGGCCTTGCCATTTACGGAGGACAACTAGGCAATGGTCTAACCAAAGAAATTAAATTTGTAGCGGCTTTAACAACCCTGAACTAACTGTAGATTCCTTACCTCGCGTTCTAATCGGAAGCGCCTTTTTGGAAGCACAACACATCACGCGGGCGGCCATTGCCGAATTTTCAGATTGAATTCTCGAGTCGAGAAACGAACACTTCGAGTAGTCCCCTTCCAAATGCCATTGAGGGAATCCCGGCGGAAGGCAAAAAGCGAACCTGTTAACCTAAACCAAATAGCGCGGCCGCGTTCGACGCCGATAAAAAGGTGAAACTTAGGATTGAGGGCACACCGGCGAGGGAGCTACATTTTATGGCCAACGCGGATTTCCGTCTGGGTTTTAATGGTCGAGCTGCATTATGCGTTGGGCACGATATTGGGGCACTGACCTTTAGTGAGCATATCCTTTTTAAAAGCTTGGATTTGGTTTTATGGTGAATTTGTGATCAATGGGGTTCGTTCAGGTAAAAAAAACCGGAAGTGAAGTAGGGTCTTTTCATTCTTTTCGAAAATGGGATTTGCGCGAACGCTGGGGGCATCAGATTTGGGAAATGCAATCAGAGAATCTCGGGCCGGAGGGTGCCTTTAGAGGTTTGAAAATTCGCTGTGTAGAAACTAAGACAAAAAATGCTAAAAAGACGGTTTAAGACCATTTACATGATCCTTTGGTGCCTCTCCACGACCTGGCATTTACTTAAGCAAGCGGATGGACGACCGTTCTTTCTCTGCATAGTATATGCATCACACGCCTATTTATCTGTGGCTCGCGCGTGGGAAGCAACCGTCTAAAGAGGAAAAGCTCCCCCTTCCCGCGATTCAGCCGATTTCGTTAGTAATTCTAAACAAAGATTGTCGTGTCTAGGGCACGCCTCTCCTTATCGTCGCTTGCAATCAGGGGCTCGAGCATTACAGTTATGCGATGGTCCCAAGGTTTCTTCATTGTTAGACATTTGCTCCCGAACTGAATATTAATAGATGATGGCTGCCCCTTGTGGATTGAATTCCGCGGATATCAATCTGGATCGAGAGGTTCAATATTTCCGCAGCTGTCCTATTAACGGAATGACGTATCGCATTGGGTTTGGTCGTTCGCTACTTATCGATATCCGTTCGGCGACGCATTCTATTGTTCGCGAGGTGAGCTTTAAAAGTTTTCAGATATTAAATTAATTAGTTCCTGTTCTACACTCGGGCATGTGGCTATAAAATCAATCGCTTTCAAATCTGGGCCTCGCGTTCACTCGAGCACAGCGAAGTGTTCTTTGAAGCGTCCGTAAGTCAATTCCATAGATAATTGACAAAGATAATTTTTTAGCTCTTTGATCCAGTCACCGGTCGATTAGTCTATAGCAGTACCAAGACAACCCGGATGGGAGCTGTTCTTGACTTGTGTGGCCTGATGATTCGCATCATTAACCACCGACGTTTTGTTAGGAATGCCACTTCCCCTCCACATCATAATTGCGTGTATTAATGTATTGAGGGTTGGTGGAAATCGAGGAAATACGGTGTCAAAATTTGACGAGTCTTGTGTTCTAACTTACATTTTTTATCCATGCTCAACCTGTAACTGACAACCTCCACAAAGACATTGCGCTCGATGCATTAATTTTTTCTTGTGGTTTTCGTAATAATTTTACCCGTGAATGAATCGTGCCGCAATTCCCTTTCATTTCTACATGAAAACATTCATTGCTAGCAACCGCCTTTGGGTTGGCCCGATCCTGTCGGTCTCAACCTAAAAAAAGGCTGATTGATACGTGTCACCGCAAGATGGGGCGACGAAAAAACACTAATAGGAGAATGAGGCGAGGACAACTGTTGTAAGACCAGGACTCCCATGAAATGGCCTATTTATTTGAGATTCGCTTTTTGCTATGCATATTTTTGATAATTCTCTCAGGGAATTCTCAATTTACCGATCGATTAGATGAATTCGAGGTTTGTTTGATGAAGGTGATTATTGGGTTTTTTAGTTGAATCAAGTTGTGAATGGTATCTTGCTTGCAAAAAAGGATCATCGTAGCATTGAGGTAGTTTTTACGAGATCCATTTCTAGAAAGATATTGCAGATGACCAATGAGCTATCGGAAACGATAAAGTTGGATTGTGGTTCAGAAGATGACGACCTAGGAACGCTCAGCGTGAAGCCAGGTCATAAAATTGTTTGGAGCTTTCGTGAGTCAGAAGGATATTTAATTTGGCTTTTTTCTGTAGCTACCCAAGAAGAAACGTGGTATGAATGCGAAATCTGGGCAGCTGGTGGACGACATAAGGTTATTTTTAACATCCTGTTTAATTGCTAATTTTTACAGGTTTTCGAAATCTTCCCTGGCCCCAAAATGATCGGGAGGAAAAAGAAGACCATGTTCTGGATGTTGCGCTTTGATGGGATTTACGAGGGGGTAAGGAGCTTCGAACGGAGTGATCATTTTTAATATAGAAAATGGAGTCATCCCGTGATATGTTTGGAAAATGGTCCCTGCAACGCCCGCGGAAATGGCATAAGTGGGAGTATAAATGAGATAAAAATATCTTATTTGCAATTTTGTTACCGCATGACATTCTACCACACATTACAGCCAGTTTCCTCATCTCTTCTTTGGTCCCACTTATTTCCAAAAGCAGCCAATCCAGCCTGGACCCTGCCCAGCCGCATTTGAGTGTGCTTGTTTGTGGCGGCGGGAAAAGATGAAGCAGAACATGAAGATGGCGACGTGCCACTCGACGTGTCGAATCAGGGGCTCGGCCCGTGGCCCCCTCATATTCCCATAGCTTGTTCTTGGCCGTGTTTGTGTCCTCCTTCCTGTTGCCGAAGGGCCTCGCAGACGGTGTCGAAGCCCATGTCGGGATGGTGGTGGTCCACCCTGTGTCGGGCCACTTGATTCGTTGAGTGCTTTCATCTCCTCCCGCCTTCCGCCTCCTACCACGCCGACATTTCTTGTTCGGATCCGAGTCCGCTGCATCGTCCCTTCCACCACATTGCTAACTGCTTCATTTGTAAGGAATCACGGCTTATCGACTCTGAATTTTTTGTGCTTTTCCTTGAAGCAAATTGAGGCTTCTCCTTGGCGGGATTCGCAGCAATTTTTCTTATAAAGTTTTTATTAAATGCGGGATGACCCAAGGTTTACTTGGTTTTTGACGGCTTGTAAAAGATTGCATAAATACAGAAAATCCTCTAAATTCTCTGGGGGGGGGACCATTGTATGCATTTCCAAATGTTTTTGAATCAAACGAACTTGGATCTGCTATATTTATAAACTAATTACAGTGTCGCTCAAAAAAAATCCAGCCAATAAATATTCAAAAGTTAAGCAAATTTAGTTGAAACAAAATCCTAGGCTAATCCGATTCACTCGATAAGGCACGCCTCGCTCTCCTTTTTTACTACAGCCAGCCCCCGATCTTGCAGCCCTTCTTCCTGCACCCCCTGCAATCAACATTCCACAAATTTCCGCCCATTTCGCTCTTTGTTCTAATCAAAAAGCAAGGCGGCCGACAAGTGTTCGGGTGAGCAGCGGCTGCTGTTGGTAGCTGGGGAGGGGATGCTTGTCGTTCCGGAAATAGCCTTTGGGGGGTTCTGTGCGGTTGGTTGGGGGGTCCTCCCAGGGACCTTCCGTTGGATGTTAGGCGGATGAGGCTCCCAAAAGGAGTTTCCAAATAGCCGGCGGGGCTCTCGAGGAGCGCCTCGGCACAACGGGAGGGCTCGCCTCACAGTGACCAAGGAAAGCAATGCAAATAGGTGGGGGATGAGGGGGATGGATGGATTGTGGAGGAGGAGGAGGATGAGGGCCTTCGGGTCCGCCTGGATGCGATCTCCATCCTATTGTCAATTGAAACAAGAGGCGACTTTAGGATAGGCGGAGTCGGGGCGTTCGCGCCCCCTGGAGGCTATATCCTATTTTCGAGTTGTTTTTAGGATGCTAATTTTTTTGTGTTTTATTTAGTTTTATAGTTCGTGGTTGTTTTTGGTCGAGATTTAACCGATATTTAGCTTTAGGATATTAGAAAATTAATCTCATGGATTATGTCATGCAATCGACCATTTTATTATCGAAGATACTGGGCGGATGAAGCATTTGGTCCAAATCTCTTACCTCCTGGACTACCTGAACTTCCACTTTTGGTGTTTTAATTGGGTTTACGCATTTTCGTGCGTTTTTTGTTTTCAATATGTGCGGTCGCTAGCCTAGGCTTGCGTTTTCCCAACTCTCACTATATAAGCGAAGCTCCATAATCGCAGCGGATATTACAGGCGGTCTGCCCAAATCGTCTAAACCCCTGCACTTTCTGAACTCCCACCCTTCCCTTCACGCTTTTTGTGCTATTAGCGGCGGCTTCCGGTCTTCAGCCCCCGGTCCCAATATGATTCATGGTGTTCCAGAAGTCGATCGAAATGGGTCACCCTTTAGTGGGCGTGAGCACCGGGAGGGCCCAGCGGGCCTTGTTGGGGATGGTTTCGGGCGGGTCTGCGCTCCGTGACCGCATGTCAGCCCTTGAGCCGGCCGCCAACAACTCTCCCGTCTGGGTCTTCCCCACCGAAACATCTCCCCAAAAACTAAAAACGGACTTTAGGGCCTAGCCCGATTATTGATTGATGCTGACTATTTGATTTTTATGCGGATGTGTTGATTTTTTGCTTCGTACATCTGCCACGTTACTATGGTATGGTCCCGCTACTCTATAGTTACCTGGAAAACGATGGTTGTTGTATATTAGTGGTATGCAATGATGGTGCTATATACAAACACTAGATCAAAGCTTTAGCTAACTTTCCGGAAGCCTCTTAGCTCCATCATCAACAATTTCTCCGCGGCTCGGCCGGTCCAACTTTTTCCCAGCCGCTCCAACCTGGGACATACTTTTTATCGTCGTGGACCGCCCAGGGCGGTACGATGTAAGAGGGCCGCGTTTGTTTTACTTACTGATTTGGAGCGCGCCCCGGGCCCAGGATCTGTGTCAGTCCGACATCGACCCGAGTACACAGCGCCGACGTCTATTTTTCTGGTTCCCTGAGGGGGCTTTGTCCCAGACTTCTACTCGCTAGGTCTTTTCCTGTTATTGATTGGAGAAGCTAGTTTTTGTCGCTGAATTCTAATGCATTTCAGAGGAGTAGGGATTCCGGATCTGATTTGGGGTAAGCGATGCTTGCCTTCTTACATCGTTACTTCCTTTAGTTTGTCGCCAACCAAATACATACCGCTTTACGTATTCTTTAGTTCAAACAAAGCTTTCCATACCTTCCTACTTGACATTCGATCTCTCAAAAATCCCCCATCAACCCGGACTCTTCCTCTACATCCGGTTACACTCATATCCATTGACAATGTGTACTTTATCGTTCTTGCGCCCTGTATACCCAGGCGTTCCGGATCGGGGCGACTCGCCAAGATAGCGGGGTCCGGAAGCGGGGCTAATTTTTGTGCGCAGGCCAGGCTTTTTGTTTGCGCTGCCGGGGTGGGTATTGAGATCGGAGCTGTCGTATAGCCGGGGAGGACCCCTCCCGGCCTTTGGTTGTGGGGGTGAAGATGTAGCCAACGAGGGCACCAGTGTGTTAACACTGACGCGTGCACACCGCCCCGAATATCCCGGTTGTTGGTGGGTGGTAGGTGGGGGGCAGGGGGTGGGTGGGGTGAGAAGCTTGGTGGGCTGACTATGTGTGACCTGTCCTGTCTTCCAGAATCTAGGATAGGGGGCGACAGTGGCAGGTCGGAGGCTTCGCAGCGTGTCCTAGTTGGAAGCCGATTCGCGCGGCAGCGTTGCCGAGCGCGCGCCGCCTTCGCTGGGGCCGTCCCTAATAATCATTGGCCCCGTGATTGTCCAACGTAAAAAGGGGGGCTATTGGCGCGGCAGTTCCGTTTACCCATTGCATTTATGGGCAACGTCTTCGGATCGTTAGGTTGCAAGAGGCTCTTCGTCCAAATTGATTGTAGACCCACATCTGATTTTGTGATTTCATGAGGTTTTACTGCCATCATTTACGTGCTTTGTGTCCATGTTTCAATATTATCCCTAAAATCTGAAGTACCACATCTACTATTTGTTGGTAACTACTTACTACCCATCACCTCGTCTCTCTTCTTTCTGATATCTTTTCCTCTTGGATCCATTGGCCATTCCGTCTTAATTTTCCAGCGTGATTTATACCCTAAATATTTTAGCCACAAACGATCCGCTACAAGACCGGGAAGCGGCAACACGACGGGACAGCGATAATAATGCGGGCGCTGCTCGCCCTTTTTATTTTTTTCGGCCCGGCTATAGGTGAGTCGCTTTCGTTTTTTAGTGACGGTAAGTCTTTAAAAAGCAGCCTGTCAATTGGACAGGAAGATTCAGGTTCAATGCCCATTTTCAGGGAAAGAGATCGCCCTGAACCTGCCGTGCAACAATGAGCTGGACGGGCTTTTGGCTCAAGACCCCGAAGGCAATGAATCGGCTTTTTTGCAATGTATTGCCGTTGAAGGCGTGAAGTAAGAACAAAATCGATAGTCCATCATAATTTTCTTTAGTGGAATCGGCTTCTGGGAGCGCAAATTTTGCCCCAATAATATGGTTTTCGACTTTGTCGGCCAGCAATGCAAGGATGAGGAGAAGAGGCATTGGCGCAAGGAGCCGAACAAGTTCAATATTGGTACGTAATAAGGTTATTAGAGAATATTCTAAGAATGAATTTAGAAGATTCAGATACTGTATCTGAAGACAGTAAGGCTTTATTTTATTTGCAAAATATACCGCTTCCTCATCTTCACGTCGTGCTATAGGCCCACGCCCTAAAAATTAATTTTGCTTCTTAAATCTGACCATATGATTTTTTTAGGGTAATTTGCGTAATCCTGATTAATTAATTATATAATTAATATAATTCCTTGCACAACCCGCTCTCACAATCGCCAAAAATGTTTTTAATGCTAATTCTTGTTTCCGGCAACGAATTTGACTTTTCAGCCATCCTGAACAATTCTTGCGCCCGCGGTGAGCAGTGTATTGGTGGTACGGTGTGCGACCTGGAGACGCTTCGTTGTTTGTGTCCATACGGCACACAGGCCGATCTTGACACGCTCTCCTGTATAACCCCCGGGATGCCCAGCCAGTTCAGTGCGTTCGCTGGCGGATTTAAAGTAGGTTGAATATCTAGAAGTATCGAATTCAGTTGAAAGCCTAACTAATTAGCGTAATCTTTGTTGACCGAAACGCCAGCCGGAAGCCTGGCTTGATCGTCTCTGTGGTCAGGCAGTCACAGGGTCAAGCAAGCAGTACCCCCAGTTTTTCCACAAAGATGAGCACGGGTTGTCCAGCCGTCTGATCATCCACGGCAATCCGCCTATTCTCGCTTCTTTTCCCCCTGCGGTCACCTCTAGCCGACACGCAAACATGTGCGCGTCGTCTTCGGCCCAAAACATCATGAAGCAGGTCCAAAAGTGCGCGTGTTCCAGGTGGAATGTTTGGGGTGCTCACAGCGAAGGAGGGGATTTCTGGTAAAATTGGTTCCAATGCAGTGCACCTATCTGTTGTGCAATTTCTGCCTGTCGTTCGAGAGACTCCGAAAAACATTGGCTTTCAGCAACCCCCTGCGCAGTTCGGTTCAAATGTTGGAGGCGGAAATATCGATGTTGGGTTCTTGCCAAATGCGGGTCAGCCCCCGCAGACGCAGATGCCTTTCAATTTCAACTTCAACATGAATAATCACAATAAGGTGGGTCTGTAAGCAAATTAATTTATATTTTTGGAATTATGCTCATTTCCTATGTTTGTTTGTGTAAAATCAGGTCGATCTGGCAGTTTTCTTGCTACCAACAAGGCAGCGAACACCTAAAAAATCAATCTTTACCTAAAACTGTTATCGTGGACAAAAACTTTAAAAATCCTTAGTAAAAATCGACCTAGACCATTTTTACTAGGCCTTTAATTTTTCCTTCTAGATGCCACCAGTTGGAATGGGGACCAACCAAGGAATCCCCGATTTCCTGCAACCAACCGGAAATTCTGGAATGGATTTCAAGCCCAACCCCTTCGTCATCCCGCCAGCACCAATGTCGAAGAAGGTCCCGATCCTTGGTATGTTCGCAATGTTCCACTCGCAGCCCCCCTCACCCATCCTCTATATATGTTCATTTTTATTGGTAGTCTGAGCGGGTGTGCGCGTGCACAGGGCTCCACTTTTTCCAAATGTTCGAGTGGCGGGGTCCGTTCCGGGGGATGGGGGTCGATTGTGCGCTTCCGAATTGTGCGACTACCGCGGGGGGTGGCCCTCTGGTTGGTCAAGGGTGGGTCTAGGGACTAGCATGGAACTATTGGGGTTAATCTGGGATCATTGACAGGAATGCATGCTTATGGATTGGGAGTTACAAATGAAGTAGGGCTACGCTTGCATCCAAGATCCAGCAAGCGACGATACATCTGGTGGATCCGGTTAAAAATATTTTTTTTAATCTGGTAGCACGCTTTAAAAATAGTTGGTAAGTATGCCCAAAGAAACTTATCTGGTGCATCCGGTATTTTACAATTTATCTTCCCCATCTTCCGGTTTCCTTCCCTCTATATGTTGTCCATTTGGTGTAGCTGCTCCTGGACGATCATGCAAAGATGGAGAGCTGTGCACCGGTGGATCCCTATGCACGAGACCACTCGGCATGTGTTTGTGCCCCGGGGACCTCGAAGAACGACAGGGCGAATGTGTACTCCCCGAACGTGCTGCCATCCACATCGGAAAAGGTCTAGTGTTTTGCTATATGCTTGCATGCATGGGGTGCTTGTGGATGCTGGTTCACCCTAGTACCATTCTAGCTCTAAACCCGGGTATGGCCAAGGCTTTTTGTAACGAAAATACAAGAGCTTTCGCCCAAAGTTAATTTTCCAAAATTGCTTTCACTTTATCTACCGCTTCTCCTGCTGTGAAAAGTGCTGACAAAAACAAGGCGAACAGTTTTAGTTGGAATCGGTGCCATCTGCGGAGAACTGGCAGAATGTGATCATGGCTCCACCTGCGTCAACGGCCGCTGCATGTGTGTCTCGCCCCTCATCCAAGAGGATGGTCGGTGCATTATGCAACCCCAACTAAAGGAAGTCGGTAGGTAGCTTCGGTTTTTGCGCGGACATTCCTTTTAGGGCCCGGAGAGCTCTGCGATAACGGCGAGGTCTGCATCAAGGGCTCGATCTGCGACACGGTGATCCCAGTCTGCGTCTGCCCTACTGACACGGATCTCCGTGATGGAGAATGTGTCAGGATGAAGCAGTCGAACTTTGTTCGTAAGTATTATTTCGCCATTTCATAGACATTGTAAGCTAAGCTAGTGACGATTTTTAGGTCCCTTGCCACCGATTGCTCCTTGGGCTACCAAGGCGCCGGCTTTCCCTGCACCTCCAAGCTCTGCTATTCCGTTGGTACCGGTGCAGCCTTTCACACCACCACCTCAGAAGCCAATGGTAAGTGCTGGAATTCAACCAAATTAAATCTAAACTTAGCCGATCGCGCCACCAGTCCAACCCTACCAACCGCCGGTGTCCTACACCACCGAACCACCATTCCGCCCTCTACCAGTGTTCCCAACTGCTCCTCCGCCAATTCAGCAACCGCTTCCCCCAAGGCCATTGCCAACCCGTGTTCCGGAGAGGCCAACCTACAACACGCAACGACCAACCTATCCAACCCAGGCCCCCATCATCACCACTCCGGTAAATAAGTTTGAATATCCTCTGAATCCCTTGATTTTTTAGCGCCCAGCATTCAAGACCGCCGCACCAAATCCAGACGGCCCACAATCCTATCGCGCCATTAATGCCCCGCCTTCACAAGCAGTCAAGCAGAACATCATCAAGCTCGGTTTGGGATAAAAAAAAAAGCAGAAAACGGTATTTTAGGAGGCAGCAAACAGGCTGGAGTTGGTGTCCGATGCGCTTTAAACACTGACTGTATGGTCGGTGCTTATTGCAATGGTAACACCAACCCACCATCTTGCCAGTGCCTGTCCACACATGTAAACGTTGATGGAAAGTGCGAGAAAGGTATGTGAGCAACCGGAATGTCTGGATTTTGGTGTTTCGGGGCTTCATCTGTGAGTTTCATCTAGCGAACGGGGGAATAGGCGGGAAAGTAATCGATTTTTTTTTCCTTCTTTCGCAAGCGCATTAATACAAATCAGCTGAAAACCGCCCGGCGCGGGTGCGCTAGTAACTTATTGCTGTTGATAATTTAAGTACGAAATGAATAACATTTTTTCAATATTCGATGGAAAAATTCTTATACCGAAATGGACTAAAGCAAGTCAGGCCCCTCTATACGCTTCCTGAAAAACTCTCGCATTCCCTTTTGTATGCAAATCTTCGGTGCATGTACCGGGCTCTATTTTCAGTAATTTACCCGGGTCAAATCGGTTGCTTCACCGACGTGCAATGCTCATCAGCCTACGTGGGCACCAAGTGCTTCGACCGTATCTGCGTCTGCCCGCAAGGCCAAAAGGCTGTCGATCAGACCTGCGTGCCTAGTAAGTTGTCGCTAGCTTCCCTACCCGCCTGTCTTCCCCGCTTAATCGAATATCCTATCCTCAAAACCCTGCTTTGCGATTTTCAGGCAATTCAACCCAATGTCGACTAACTGAAGATTGCCCTCTAACTTTCGAGTGCCTTAATGGAATCTGTGGCTGCTCACAAACCTTGCTTTTAAAGGATTCTAAATGTATCAACCCAACTAACATCCCCTGCATGACCAAACCCGATTGTCCAAAAACCATGAAGTGTGGTGTGAATAAGAAGTGTCGTTGTTACAAGGGGAAATTCTTTCAAAATGGTAAATGCCGTAAACCGACGCCGGATGAACCAAAAAGGAAGAAACGGAAGGCTGAAGAAACGGCAACAGTTTGCTGGCCAGGTGTCTCGACGTGCGCCGGAAAGAGAGGAATTTGCATCAATGACATCTGCCATTGCCTGGAGGGGTTTGTAGAGAGGAATGGTCACTGTGTCCAGGATGGCCGTCCTCTAGGTGGGATTTGCAATGAAGATGGAGAGGAACCATGTTCCCATCCCCTGGAATGTATCGAAGGGATATGTGTTTGCAATCTGGCAGTTGGATGTGACAAGATGGCACTGCAAAGTCACAAGGATTCGCCACAGAAGCAGGATTGTCCACAAGGCACTGTGTTTAAGGTTGGTTTTCCATAAAAATCCTTTTAAAATTGTCGATCAATAAGATTAGCAAAAATAAAACCTATTTTTTTCAGAAGGGACGATGCGTAGAGGTCCCCGGTGCCTATGTCATGCTGAATGCAGCATGTTCTGCAAATGATCGGTGCAGCGCCGGCTCATCGTGCATCAATGGCGTATGCAAGTGCACTGATGGGGCGTTTGATCGAAACGGAAGATGTTATCAAAGCCCAGGAGGACGATGCTCAAATGGCGAGGCTTGTGAAGGAGATGCTACATGCGAATTAGGCACTTGCAAATGTCCATACGGCAGTTCAATGACAGAAGGAAGATGCATGCCCACCGTAGCTAAACCTGGTGCCTCGTGCCAGCTGGGGCAAATCTGCACCCAGGGCAGCAAGTGCAGATTTGGAATCTGCATGTGCACCGGCAAGACTTACCTCGCATCCGGAAGATGTATCACGAAAGAAACGATCATTAACTTCAAGAAAGTAGAGGTTTCTAAGAAGAAGGTCACCGAAGTTCCTATTTACCTATCACCTGTAACCACCACGACTACGACAACCACAATTATTACCACCACTACACAATCTCCAAGCTCATCAGTCCCTTTGAGATTCTCGCATCGAAAAGATAAGGACAGTGAACGGGGGCCAGGGATGGTTTGCGAGATACCAAAGCATAAATGCATTGGTGGTTCGATATGTCGAGATGGATACTGCGTATGCATGGAAAATGAAGTGATAATCAATGGAGAATGTGTCAGCAGCGAGAAGCAAGCCGTTGAAGTGTTCAGTCAGATATTGGTCAGCGCTCCCGGGCAGCCATGCAAGAATAATTCTGAATGCGTGGGGCTCTCGAGTTGCATCGAGAAGGTTTGCACATGTCCGGATGGTATGATAATCCAGATGGGCGCTTGCGCCGAAGATCCAGACTTGGCAACCAGTCAGACCGGAGTATTTCCAGGAAGTCCATGCAAACTAACAGTTGAATGCCCCTATCGAACGGAATGCCAACGAGGCGTTTGTCGATGTAGATCTGGAGAGACAATCGTTGGAAATACGTGCAGACAAGCTATCAATCAAGTATTGCCCGGAGGACAATGCGATGCGAAGAAAGGATATGATTGCGTTGGAGAATCGCAATGCCGATTCGGAGTCTGTACCTGCGGGATAAACCTGGTTAGTCAGGGCAAAGAATGTATCCCATTGGAACTGCTTGCCGAAGTGATGCCAGGTGAACCCTGCAACAACGCGTCGATATGCGTTGGAGGATCAATCTGCGTGCACGGCATCTGTGCGTGCACCTCTGAATTTGTTGTTGATGTAAACCAGAAATGCGCACCCAAGTCGTCCGTGCTCGCCGTCTATCACAAGAATTTGAATAAAGTCGGCGCTGCCAGTCAAATCGTGGACCTTGCTCGCCCAACCACGCAAGACGCCTACACCTACGCGTATTTACCAACTCTTGGAGAATCCTGTACCACAGCCTGCCGAGATGGTGCCTCTTGCGTCCAACAAGTTTGTCAATGTGTCGGGAATTTCTTTGGATTCGAAGGGCGATGCATTCATCGCACCGATCCTGGCGAAATTTATGTTTCCCAAGCCAACAAAGTAAACCTCGTTAATTTAAATTCAACGGCTGATATGATGCAACCGTTCTTAGCCGGTATCAACTTAAACGGGGTCGAAAATGTGTTACATGGCCATCGTTGTACATATCCAACAGAGTGTCCGATCAACTCGTTCTGTTTCGGCACGGTTTGTCGATGCTTGTACGGCTTCCGAGCTACTTCCGGATATTGTGAAGTAGTCGTCCCGCTGGGAGGGGAATGTTCCTCCAGTAATCAATGCGAGGGAGACGCTGCGTGCATTGACCGACTTTGCACATGTTCCAATGTTGAAACAAAACGTTGCCGACCTGCCAAGCTCTCTCGGCCTGGTGATAGCTGCACAAAGAATCAAGTATGCAGCTATAATTCATATTGCGCCCAGATTAGCGGTGTCTGCGAATGTCCTCCTGGAATGGAGACAATTGAAGATAGATGCGTACAAGTTGAAAGTGCGAGAGGCAGATTTTGTGATTCGAGCCGGAATTGCCATAAATTCAGCTATTGTGATCACGGAAACTGCGTCTGTAAGAACAATTACTTCTTGTCTGATGGGTTCTGCGTCCCTCAGCCTGGTAGAATCGGCGATATGGAGTTGATGGAATTGGTCAGACAAAGTTATTCGAACAACTTGACACCAGAACCGCGACAACCAGACCGTTACATTGAAGATACAAATAATGGAGGGCCTGATATGATGCCCAATGGGTTTGGAAGGCAAGGAGGTGGTAGTCTATTTTCTCGATATGGTGGCGGTGGCGGCGGAGGCTCCACAAACTGGCTACAAAGCCAAATTCGCGAAGAGCTTGAAAGGAGCATTGTGGATTTAAGAGCCGAAGAGCGGAATAACGGTTATTCGTACCAAGGCAGGCCCCAAAGTTATGTAGAAACAACAACTCCGTATTCAATCCCAACGTTGCCTCCTACTGCTCCTACCATGCCACCCGTGCCACCGATGCAGACCTATCCGTCTGTTCAGACAATGCCCATTCCAAGCTTTCCATTCCTCTCCGTCAATATTCCGACAAAGCACAATCTACCACCATTCACTTTCACCGCTGATGGCATGAAGCAAGGTGGAGCTCCAGTTCAAGTTAACGTTTTGCCGCCATACTCTGTGGCACTACCGGGCCTGCATACAGGTGGTTTGTCTTTCGATAGATTAAGGCCGGACATGCAGCCCAACCCGAACTATTTACCGGAACAAATGATGGGGGCACCGATTGTAACAGATGAGACCCAGAAAGACTCCTATGCTCCGTCTGATGCCAAGCCGAAGCCTAGCACCTCCGCACAACCCGGCGAATATTGCGATGAAAACAATGAATGTGCTGGAAATTCTTACTGTGAACACGATTTTTGTCGTTGTCCAAGGGGGAGCAGTTCAGTGGCTGGGATTTGTATGAAAAAGCATAGAAGACCGGCGAAAAAAGGAGAGCAAGAAGAGATCAGTTATGAGATGGACGATGATTCCGATGAGGGAGCACGTCGACAGTTTGCAATTCCATTGGAATCTTGTGAAGAAGGAGAATTTTGTACCGGCGGCTCAGAATGTACGCAAGTGAAAGGAATGGGACAAATCTGCCAATGCGAAGATTCTAAATTTGTGGTGGATGGAGAATGCGTAGTAATGCCTGACAATGCTTTGGCTTCTGGAATAGGCCAAGATTGTGGAAACGGCGAATTATGCCTTGGTGGATCGGTGTGCCAAGAGAAAGAATGTCGTTGCGTTAATGGTAAGGAAGATGTGCTCGGAGTGTGCATCATGCGTTCCCTTCCTGGTGAAGCATGTAACAGTGGTCAACTATGTGCAGAAGGATCCATTTGCCACAAGAAACATTGCATCTGCCCGCTGGGCACCGTCTCCTTCAAAACAAAATGCATAGCTGGGAAAAAGTTAAATGGCCTTCCGGGGACCCCGTGCGCTTTTGACACAACGTGTACAGAAGATACGTATTGCTCGGATCGTGGGATATGCGAATGCCCACCATTTCGAACGAGCTACCAACACAAATGCGTGAGAACCGAGCTCCTGAAGGAACCAAATCAACCTTGCGATCTAACCCACATCTGCACGAAAGGATCGACTTGCGACGGAGGATATTGTTTGTGCCCGGAAGGCACTGAATGGAAGGCGGATCGGTGCACCTCTGTGAGAAGAAGAACGAAGAAGGAAATCTCCGTAAATATTTGCCAGAGTGATACTGACTGCGATGAATATAAGGTGTGTCTCGAAAAGAGGTGCGTTTGCAACGGAAACCCGCGATGTGGAGCTGTCATTTCCTTCAGTATGGATTCAGAATGTAGCCGGGATTTTCATTGTCCCCGTGACCAAGCTTGCAAGAATGGGAAATGCACCTGCAAGAAGGGCTACGGGCTTCTGCATAAGGAATGTACAGTGTTACCGAATATCAAGAACCTTCCAATTGCTGGAATGGCATGCCAGGACGAGTGTTTTGGCGGGGCTGATTGTGTGTTTGGGCGCTGCCAATGCCCGAGAAACTACTTTCTGAACCTCGCTACGAACTTTTGCGAAAACGAACACGCGCCTTCTGCTGGAAGTGCCAGCGTGCAGGTCCGCTGTGGTTACGGCGGTGTAGAGCGTGATGAGCATGTGGAATGCAAGGGTTTGTGAATGCACTTCTACCGCTACGCACATTTCATCCCTCTGTTTGGCTGGTTCAGTTTTGCAGCATGTATGCATGTTAATGGGTAAATTTGTTATTTTTGTTGTTTTATTTGATAAATTAACAAATATCATTAACATTGGAACCTAAAAAACTAAAGAGAATACCTTTTTCAGTCAATGAAGTCGTCACGTCACCGCCGGGAGGTAGCTGCTCTGGGGAGCGCGAATGCACTGGAGGTGGGTATTTTTTGCAAACCGGCAGTCCCGGGCTTATATGCAAACTAGAAAGCTAGGCAAAATAATATTCAGCAGCATTTTTTCTATGAACTTTTTTTCAGGTGCAATCTGTCGGGAGGGATGGTGTGTCTGCCCGCACAGCACGATGATTGTGCAGAAGGGAATCTGTGTGCAAACGCAGCCTAGACCTACCGTACCTCCAAGAGCAACGGCCCCACCACAGACGACAGCCAAAGCATTCCCGACCTTCCCAACTGCCCCACCCACGGTTTATACTCAGCCGCCAACTAGACAGCCGGTTGCAGTAGGTAGAAAGGCGACCCCAGGATCGCAATGCGGTAAGGGATTGATTACGCTTAGCGTCAATTCTTCGAGAAAATCTTGGCGTTCTAACTGTCGATTTTCAGGTCCTTTGGACACCTGCGTTGGTGGTTCAATGTGCGTTGAAGGCTACTGCCTCTGCCCCGCCGGTACCCATGCCGGAGACCTCGGCCGATGCGTCGCCACTGCCGCCGCCACCACAACTCCCTACCCTGCACCAGCAGGTGGTAATGTACTTCGTGTTCGCCCTCAGACAGCCCCACCACAACCACCGCCCGTATTCGCTTCCCTGCCCACACGCCGCCCACCAGCCGCCAGTATTGAAGTGCCACTAACACCGAGTGCGGGCAGTAACCCCGTTCCGCCGCCCCGGCCATCGCCGAACGACAACAACGACAATGACGACGACGACGACGACGCAGAATGCCGAGCAATTGGTCTTATTTGTAAAGGGAATACCGTATGCCGGAATCGGTCGTGCCAATGCCCGGATGGCCACGTATTGCTCGGCGACGCCTGCGTGCTTCCCGAAAATGAGAAGAAAGCGTCGAGGAAGGGGAAGAGCTGGAGCCCAGGCAAGATACAACGTATACACCCGCCAAATATCCCCCCGATCCTGCAAACCGCTCGCTTGTTGCATTCACTGATTTAGATCGTAAGAAGAAGAATGTACTAAAATCAATCCCTAACATATTTCCGGGGCAAGGGGGTGTTCATGCAATTCGGGGACCAGCTTTCGGATCTTGGTATCCTTAGGAATCACTATCTGCTTTCATTGCTTGCACCGCTTATGCATTTTGCCATTTTGCACAAATTTAGACGACCATCGCAAGGTTTTGGATTTGAAAATTCTGGAGTCATCGTCACGTAAGCCGATTTTAAAACAAAATTAAAGTGTTTAGCACATAGGCATCCCTAGAATTTTTGGCTCAATTGAAATGAACACCTTTTCGCCCTATCCCTAGAAAATGTCTCTTGAATACTCTTTTGCTGATTGCCAGAAAAAGCGAAAACGAATGCAACGAGATCGCGCGGTTCGCCCGCCACCGTTGCGCTAGCCATTTGCACAATCTTTTGCACGTAAGGCACGGAAAACGTCAAGGGCCAAAACGGTGCATGAGGGAGACTCTTCCAAAGAAATACCTGTCCTCCCAAAATTCCTGTTTACGGACTGTGCAAGTGGCTCTCCCAACGGTGGCGCTCACATTCTACCCCCCAAAAGTTTGAACTAGATGGTTTTTTGCTACCAAGAGTTTTTTGTGGAAACTACCCGAGATAACGGAAATGTAGTGATAAAAATAAATTTATTCGTTGGATTATAATAAGCACATTTTGTCTAATAATGTCTGCTTCAGTTAATAAGTTTTGATTTTCAGCCAACAGCGCGAAGTACGCGAGGCCAATGGACGATTGTTCGAACGGTGAGACCTGTATTGGTGGAGCCGAGTGTGCCGAGTTGTCGGATGGAACCACCAAGGTATATTGTGTGCCTGTACTTTAAATATAAATATATTTCAGTGTATCTGCCCGATGGAGAAGCCTATTGCCAAGGGCGATTATTGTGTTGCTGATCAGGCTCCAGTCAAGAGAGTAGCTTTCCCAGGAGCTAACTGTGACGAAAATACAGTATGTGCCAAAGGATCAATGTGAGTTTATGAGAAATTAGCACACCTATAGAAAACTTCAGGTGCCAAAACGGTATCTGCCGATGCCCCTCTACCCAAGTAGCGATTGGAGGAGTTTGTGTGACCCCACCACCAGTCACCGCAGCACCGACCGCTGCTCCGGCTACCAGAACCGCCAATCCGTTCGAGTCGTGCGAAGAAGGGGAAATTTGTTCCGGAGGTTCTAGGTAAATCACATAGCTCTTGATCTCATAACACTCTCCCAGCTGCGATGAAGACACCGGCCGCTGCATGTGCCCAATCGGCCAGATCGTCATGCTGAACGAGTGCAAATACCCGCCAACGACACCAAAAATGCCAGGTATACCCAATGGTTGTCTCTAGCGGACCCTGACTGCCCACTGAAGCTTGCTGTCTTCTAACCTAACCATCGTTTGCGGCTAACCCCCAGTTTCACTTGTAGTGGCGAAATCGGTCGGCTGCCAATCCGATTCGGAATGTGGCGCCGAGCGGGTGTGCGTCGTGGGTGCATGCAAGTGTCGTCCCGGCTTCGTCGACTTTTCTGGCAAATGTGAACCCTTGGAAGGTGTGTATTTTCTGGGTGCACGCTATTATGATATCGGTTCTTATAGTTCTCCAAGCCCTCGGGAACGTTTTGCTGATTTTAGAAAAGCCCTACCATTTAGGCCGAATAGCCTCAGGGCATTCCGCCGTATCGAATATGCTATTTAGAAGTTCTTGCTAAAAAACGGTTCGCCGCGCGCTGGTAATTCCAATTATTAAAAGCGCAAAAAAACCATCAGCGCACGGGTGCCATATGACCGATTTAATTGCCGTGTGTTCTGAACATCTTCTTTTAGCTGTGGAGGTGAATGAGAGGCCAGCCCCGGTCTCATTCGCCAGACACAAGGTGCAGAGTCTGGCTCGTGAGGAGGAAGTGAGTGTGGAAGAAACAACAGCTCGTCCAACTCCCCGACCGCGCGTTAAAGGGCTACCGATCCGGAGACCGAAGCCAAAGACGAAGTCAAGCGGTTCCGGCCGATCGGGCGGCGGCTCTTCCGGCGGAGGTCTCTCTAGCCGTAAGACCGGAAGTGGTGAAGGTATCTGCCCACCTGGCAATGAGGCAACTCGAGATGAATCCTCTGGCCAAATTATCCTCTGTAATGGCAACGAACCCAATTGTCCGCCCCGCTCCTATTGTTACATCACATCTGGGGGCTTTGCCGCCGAGGAATATAACTGCTGTAAATCCTGGTAATATCGTGTGTGTTTGTGCTTTGTAATTTATTAAACTATGCCCTCCCTACACCTTCTAGAGTGATCGTGTGTGCTAATCGACTTCGAGTCGCATATATTTATTGCGCACACTTCCTAAATTTCTGCGTGTTTCAGTTTATGCTCTAGTCATTTTGTGATCACAGATCCGTCTTTCACAGCAGAAAAATAATGTCTTTCTGGATCCTTTCTTGCTGCTTCTTTCCCCTTCCTCCACCTCCCCCCACCAAAACAGTGATTCCGTATCGGACGCAACTCGTTGGCTTTCATTCCCGTGCATATCGTGTCGATATTGTTGCATTTCCTAGCTGGGCCCCTAGTGCCCCAAAGGCCCATAACGTGTGTTTTGCCTTCTGCAGTTCCCTTCACCCTAAACCCAAGTTTTATTAGCCCAAATAAATACTGAAGAATTGAAGTGCGGAAAATCACTTTTCATGCAGAGACGCTAATCACACGAGTGCTGTAATTGAGTGGAAAGTCGTGGAAGGTTGCAATAACAAAAAACAAGGGGAATTTCAAAATGTTTTAGATTACACCCGACCTCCGTTGGCATACGGACAGCCTTGTATCGCCAAAGTCGATAAATGCTTGAATGGAGCGATGTGCATGGACCATATTTGCAAGTGTCCTGCTGGCCAGATGCCAGATTTGCAGGGAACCTGCGGCCCGATTACTTGGGTAAATAGGGAAATGTTTGGAAAATAATAATAATGTAGGCGGCTACACCACCCACGCCACTCACAACAAAAATGGAAACTCTCCGGCCACGCCCAGCCGCGACGCTGCCACCAACGCCAGCGCCGGCGCCTGAAATTTCTGATTTTATGCCCCATCCAAGTCTATTTGAAAATCAGCAGCCAACAGGTAGCAGCTGCACAAATAATCAAAACTCGCTTGTTTTTAGAACAATTTTCCTCGATGCCCTCCCTAGAAGTGAAGATCGGCGGTAAATGCAGCCCGTTCGATGACTGCTTACGTGGAAGTGAATGTATTAATGGAATATGCAAATGCCCGCCCACAACACAACTCGAAAAAGGCGAATGCGTTCGAGGTGAAGAGCCGGCGAAGCTTCTAGAAATCCAAATTTAGAGCACCGGAAGGATATTGCATTCCCGGGTGATAGTTGTGCATTAGGGCAACTCTGTGCTGGTGGATCGATCTGCGATAATGACTCGTCCAAGTGTATTTGTGGGGCTGGATTTATTAAGATGGGAAGGAGATGTAATAGCAAAGGTGACTTCGGAAGGAATTAGGTTTACAGGTGTTTTTAGAAGGTCCAAGATACGCCAGCCCTGGTGATATGTGCGGTGATGGCGAAGAATGCTCAGGCGGTTCCGTTTGCTACAATGGACGTTGCATTTGTGATGCTCAGCACTATGCGAGCAGTGGATACTGTAGACCGATCGGTAGGTGTAGGTAGTTTTATGAAGAATTTTGTTTAGGGTCGCCAAATTCTGACGTGCGATTGGATGGCAACGGACTTCGTTTCTCCTCGAAACAGGTTCCCGACAGGAAAATGGCACAAGATTGCAATCCATTTGAATGCCGACTACCCGAATGTTTCTGCAGTCGTTCAGGTAAATGTGCTACGCTTTTAACAAAAAAAAAATTGGTTCAGGCAAAGAACCACCAGGCGGACTGAAACCCGAACAAATTCCACAATTCGTTGTGTTGACCTTCGACGATTCTGTCAATGGCCGTACACTCCCAGACTACAAGAAACTGTTCGAAAACGATCGCTGGTTGTAAGTACCATCATTGATACCTAAAAACTTTGACATTTAGCAACCCAAATGGATGCCCGATCCGCGGCACCTTCTTCGTCTCGCACGAATGGACTAATTACGATGGTGTTCAATGGATCCACCGTAAAGGCCACGAGATTGCCTCCAACTCAATTACGTAAGAGCACCCACAATGCAGTCTTTTTGATGTCTCAAGAAAAGGAGTGTTGGGGAGCAGCAAGTGTGAAGTCTGGTATTCCAGGCACTCCTCATTAGAGAACGAGGACACAAGGCGGTGGCTGGGTGAGATGGATGGAATGAGGCGGATGCTGTCGAAATTCGGAGGGGCTGATGAGTCAGAGGTCGTCGGAATGAGAGGGCCACAATTGGCGACGGGTGGTGATGCCCAATTTGAGGTATTTGAATGGACGGGAAAATAGGGTGGTGTCATGAATGCAAATACTTTGTATTTTGAAGAGTATCAGGTCTCGAGTGAAAATAATTTATCTAGCGACACCTTATTAAAACGAACCCAAATACAAATTCAAAATGTTCTTAGATGATGAAACGCGCTGGATTCCTCTATGACAACACAATGACAATCAACCCAGGCTTGGACAGCCCACCATTCTGGCCCCAGACCCTCGACTACAGGGTGGCATTTGCCTGCAATGACAATAATTGTCCCACAAAGTATGGATCAAAAGTAAAAACTAAAACCTTATTTAGGTCGTTCCCTGGTGTTTGGGAAATCCCAATCAATCAGTTCTACGGTGGCTACATGAAACAAATCGATTCACACCGCCGGGCTAGCATGATTAGAGCAGCTACCCATTTGGATGCCAGTGAAAATGAATTGGTAATTAAACCTAAGCTAGATTTTACTAAGAATTCTAGGTGGATATGTTGATGTCGAATTTCGAAAGGGCACATCATTCGAATAAGGCACCCTACATCTTGACGTTGAATGCTGACTTCTTGCAACTGAATAACACCGATGTTGGAATGAAGAGCTTTGTTCGGTTCGTGAAGAATTTTAGCCTACTTCTAGCTGCATGGCTATTCACTTATGTGATCTCCGCGATCTCATCTACCTTTCAGATTCATGGATGAGGTCTCTAAAAATAAGGATGTTTATTTCGTGACGCTGGAACAACTGGTTAAGTGGATGCAACGACCAACGACGATCGCCGAGGCGGCAAATGTTTGTTTGCCACCCTGGGGGCAGTAACCAAAAAAACTCTTCAGAGCGATGCGCTGCGCTGCCGTCGCGCTTTTTCGGACCTCTCGCGTGGGAACTGCAGCAAGCCGAATAAGTGCATGTACCGTACCCCGGGTTTGAACAGCCCCGAACATCAATTCCTAACTTGCGCCCCATGCCCCGATGTATACCCCTGGCTTGAGAACCCCGTCGGAACTATTTAATCCCTAAGAAAAACCTAAGCAAACACCAGATCAAATTTGGTCACTAGAAATCGCGCTAATAATTCCCAAATTTTCACCTGTTTATTCCTGTAGGCAGCCCGAAAAAGGCTATTTTACGGCTTCGGTGGTGCCCAGGTGGCTTCGCTGTTTTGTAACGGATTCTGCTAAGTGTTTGTTTTCCAGAACCGATGGCTTGGGAGAATTTCTGAGCATAGAAAAATGGCGCGCGTCCGGCCCTGTTTGTATAGATTTTGCCCCGAACATTATTTATTCTGATCCACCAGATTTGACCCGTCGCTTGCTAGTGAATCTAGCAGGTCGCTTCTTAGAAGCTGCATCCCCTCCAATTACCCATCGACTCGATCGATTAGAACGAAAGAACTAGCGAAATCACGACCTACCCTATGATACCTACCCCGTCCCGGTCACAACCTCCCCTTCCCTTACCCCCTTAATTTATTTTCTACGCCAGGTTGCTCTACCGTACGTGTATTCACTTTCCTGTCAATCTAGTCATGCTCAAAATGATTGCCTCAATTTCCCATTCATATATTGAAACACAAAGTAAAAGCTTTCTAGTCAACTAATTTGAAAAAAGAACATGGCAACCCCAGAAAACATCACGTGCTCCCTCAGTCACACACATACAAAGAGTTGCTTAATGAAACAGCGTTCCAATTTTTCAACACTACTCCTTGGAGGAAAGAAGAAAAATTTGACGGACCGCCTTCTTAATTGGTGTTTTGGGGCGAACACGCGAATATATTCCGGCTGTGATCTTGCTAGGGCCCGTTCGGTCATTCATATTCCCTCGTCATCCCCCGGAAGGGCCCAAATTTGGTTTTACATCTTTTCAATCCAAGGCTCAAAATATTGGCCAGACATTCGGGGCATCTGCCCTATTCCTTTCCGCGGAGGTCCAGACTGGTCAAAGGCGAGATTTTTCACGCCCGCTGGCCCGTCTCGGCTTCTCCGAATATCCACTTTCACGCCTCAAAATTCGGTTAACTTTCGACTGCGCACAGTTGCGAAAATTCCAGCGGCTGCAAAACAAAAACACCGCGTGCTCGTTCAGATTGGGGGGCAGGGCAAGACGAGAATCTCCTGAAGGTCGAAGACTCATGCATCATACACAGCCCAACTTCTTCTATTTTTATGCGGGTCTGACTGCTTGTGAGGGAGCGCGGCGTAAGGGTGCGTGTGGCGCAATTTCCGGATGGCTTAATTCCCCTTCTTTCGCCGCACCGGCAGACGGATTGTTTGGAGGGTTGTATCGTTGGAGTGGGTTTCACTTGGATCACTTAGGGCAGTGTTTCAGAATTTTCCTATTTTTTTTTCGATTTTTTGGGGTTCTTCATTAGGAAAAATGGGGCAGAATTCTTGCTTCGGGTTTTGGGGGTAGCAACGGCCGACGGCTGTTCACAAATCAGATCACAGGGGTTGGGTTGAGTGTATTCCGACACAGAGGAGCCCTGGCGTGCTTGTACACTTTATAGAAACGAACCAAACAGGGGCCGGTCTTTTTGGCGCGCCGCCCTGCATATGGCTGTGTGTGTATTACCCCCCGAAGCCAACCCCGCCGACTTATTTGTGTTTGGTGCCGGATCCGGGGATCTGTTTTTCACGCAGTTTGAGCCTTTTTTCTCTGACGCTCAACCCCAGACTTCGAATCATGTCTATGCATTTGTCGAGCGCTAAAAGTTGGAGGTGGTCGCCGAGGGGGGCAAATCTCGGGCTCGGGTCCAATTATGCGAGCATTTTCTCGACTCCACGGTGTATTCATGAGGAACGCGGCGGCTTATTAATTGGGGTTGGCGTGGCTGATAATTAGATGTCTTTGGAATGTCGGGGAGGGAGGTGTCTTCTTCTTCTTCTAGGGAGGGGGGTGGATAGATAGGTGGTGCCCCCGCCCCATGTGATTCCACTTTTTGCAAACGTATCGAAAAACCGAGACGGGAAGTCTGTTGGTCGGCGGGTCTGGTTAAAATTCTACGGCTCATTCTCCGGCGTTTCAAGAGGCGTCTAGCATTGTGGGTGGGGGTGGCGAGTCCATCTGCCTTCATCTATTAGATATTCAGCCCCATATTCTCCGGGTCCTCCTCGCTTTCCTTATGCCCATTCACCACCGCACACAATTTTCCGTTTTTGCCATAGCCGTCACCCCGCGGCCGGCATCACTTTGCCACAATATCGCATGCCCTTCTTCACGCGGAATTACCCGTTTTTGAATATTAAGTATTCCTTTTGTTTTTATAATATTTTCGTACTTGTAGGAGGTCTAGGCTGACGCATCTCCGGGTCAGATTACAAGGCCAAGCAATTGTTAGGCATTGCCGTGCGGCTTAATAAATATAATTTATTATCTAAAAAGGGTCCTATTTGCTCCCCGGCTTTTCCAGATCTGCCCTTCTTTTCGGCGGATGGCAATGTGCGCATCGCATGTGTCCGGCTCATCCTCCTCAACATTGCTGTTCATTTTCGGAGAACGCTCCGACCAATTTCCCCCATTTCATGAAGGTGCCAAAAATGCACGGGATTGCCGGAATTATCCAGGTCCGCCGCGTTCCTCTTCCCAAAACTTATTATCCCAAAATCTTAAGCTCTGACTTATACGCCGTGATTTCAAATTCTCTAAAAAAGCTTTCGCCAAAACTTTAAAATCCGTTGGTTTCTGATGCTTTGCTGACTATTCGAAAAACGAGCCTTATTTTTGGTGGAAAAACAATGGATTTGGTTTTTCACAAAAAACACGTATTTTATACCACACTTTTCTATTCGTATCTTAAAATTCACGTCTTTTATGTTCTCTTCGGGTTTTCATTGCGCTCAAGTCGATTTACAAATTACAGGTCAACACCGGGCTATTATTGCAAAAAGCCCAAGCGCAGAATTTCTACCTGAGCCCACACGGTGGCCAGAAAAACAGCAGCACTTTTTGAAAAGAGCCCCCGGCAGCAATTCACAATGGGCCCTTCTCAAAATCAGTCTGAATTCCTGGAGGTAAGTGAATTTTGTGTCTGTTACTTTTGGTTGCTACGTCATTATGGCCCGGTATACTTTCTATTAGTTTTCATAGTTTAAAACTTTCACTTCAATGCTCCACTGTATTTTATACCCGATAAGGTCGATCAGACGTTTTTGTGAGAGTTGCTATCCCTGGGCGTGCGCCCTTTCATATCGGTAGTAATCCCGGAACCCGACTACTTCACGCTCCAAAAATCGGGTGAACCAAAAAAGTTCGGTATGGCCTCGGCCCTAGTGGTTTGTTGTAAAGAGCAGTAAATTTCTAATTTTGTTGTGCCCTCGTCCGGATTAGCGAAAGTTGACCGAAAATTACGCACTGGCCCCAAAAGGACTTTTTGGCTTCACGGTCCACCCAAAATGGAGGATTATTTATCACGATTTTGGGTACTTTCAATCGATCGCTAATTTAACAGGGATGGGTCGTGTTTTGAATTGCTGCCGTTCGGCGTTCATTGATTCGTTGCCTCCACGACAATAGGTGTTTTTGGTGGGTGGCTGGTTGGTGGTTGGATGGGCATTCCAGGGGCGGATGGCTCCAATCCTAAATGAAATGGGTCCTGAAACACGTTGTCCCGTGGCGGCGCCGCCGTGGTTGTTCGTACGCATATCTACTCTAGGGGGTCTGAGTTTCGACGAAAAAATGGGGTTGCGACATTTTCGGGGGGTAGGGATGGGATGTAGAGAAGCCATAGATGGCCGGATCAAAGAAAAGGTAGGGGTATGGACTCTTGGATGGGCCAGGAAACCAGGAATGGATTTGGGATATGATCTTCTGCAACGGAAAAGTTATATTTGATCGTGAAAAATGTCATCTGATCGGGGTTTTAGGGTACTATTGCTCTCAACCTGCGTCACTTTCGGGCACGGTGCTATATATTGAGCATTAATCTAATTTCAGTCCCTCAATCTACAATCTTTCTTTGGATTTCAATGCCAGTAATGGGTCGAACTGAAAGAATCCGTTTGTTATCGTTAATGCTTATACAGAAAATTTATTCGTAGAATGATAAAACCTACCTAGATGATCGTCTATTAATGCGCCAATTGTATTTGGTAGAGACTGTAGCGACTTTATAGCGATTATATGCTCTGTTTTAGGTTCAGAATTTTTTAGAATGACAATATAACCATTTACGACTTTTTGCTTATTCTGCCCTTCAACTTCCTTCTACCTTGTTTTCGCAGACCAACAAAAAAAGACGTCCACGGTCCAAAAAGAATGGGACGCCGGGGGTAGATTTCAGAGAGACAAGGGGAGACGTCGACGGGGAGTGGGAGCGTGCCGTAGAAGCGGGGTTGCCCCCCTATTAGCATACTTGACTCGGAAGCCCGAAGAGGTGAAGGATTTGGTTTCAATGCCCACCGCCGACCTCATTTCCCGTGTCCCACAGCCGGGACCACGGCCTCCGGGGGGGCATTTCAACAACCAACTGGGTTTGGCTCCGCCGCGCTCAAAAGTCCTCCCATACTTCGATAACAAGCCTGGGGTCGGCAGGATGATCGAGGATGCTGGCGGCAAAACTGTGGTAAATTTTGTTGTTTAATGGGGTAGTATTGTGTGGAATATGGTAGTTTTATTTTTGGCTCTGATCCTGACCTTCTCACCTCACCTTTTTACCTCATCTTTGTAGCAATTTACAAACGGTTCTTCCTAATAATTTTGAAAATTAAAGTGGTGCTAAATTAGGGCTGTCATGTCGAGAGATCTGAGATTTTGCAACAGTCGTTTTTCCCGAGGTTATCTTTTTTTTAAAGGTATGGTCTGGTTTTCTGAGTAACTTAAACTTTCTTGAACTTGAAATACCTAAATTAATTTTCAAGTCGTTTGATTTCACGATCAGAGATTTTATGACAGTCGTTCTTCCGATGGTCATGTTTTTTTAAAGATATATTCTCGTCTTCTGAATAACTTAAACTTTCTTGAATTTCAAATACCTAGATTTTCAGTCTTGGTGCTCGGAATTTTCAAGTCTTTTACAGGTTTATCTTGAACCTTTATTTCGGAACCGTTTTCTCTATCCTTTGAAGATCACTCCTTTCCCAGGCTCACCAAAATAATTCAAGGCTTCCCTGACCCTGCATTGCCCATTACCCCCCAATACCCCTAATCCTGTACCCCTCTCTTGCCCTCAACGTCAGCTTCCGGTTGTACTAAAATTAAATCGCCGAAACTAAGCCCCCCCCCCCAGGGCCCCAAAATCGGCAACAGGAAAAATCAGGGCGGCAAACCCTTTTAGCTGGGTTTTGCACGGCGGAGGAGTCTGATGGGCCATTCCGGAGGTGGTGGCCGTTTATGGAAACGTTTTTTGTGTCAAGAGTTCGTCATTTGGGGTATGGGGTGGATAATTGTCATTATGGGTGTCGCCATAAGGGGAGTCGGTGAGGGGCCGGGGCGGGCCCGATAATGTGGTTTTCGTTAAGTCTCGTACCCAGACGACACTCGAACCCAGTGGGTGTTGCGTTGGTTTATGGGATTTGAGGGTTATTTCTACAGTTTGGCGGAGTAACTTATTTCGTGCCTAAAAATACATCTTAGCAGTAAGCCAAGAAATTCAGTTAGATAGATTCTAATTCTCCTGCAACCTGATTTCTGAACTTTGAAGGGTTTCTAAGTTTGTCGGTGAACCTTACTAGTGCTGTTCTAAAGGGGTGATTTTTGCATAGGCGCACTAGCTAGTTATACCTAAATTGTGTTGTTTTTCGATACTACATAGCTAAATCAGGAGTGACTTTTGCTAGCGGCCTTTACCATCCCCAGACGTCATCAATGCGTACAACCCCAAAACCGGTCTTATCCTCACCACCTAATAAAAAGCCCTATTAACCCTCACGGAAGAAGCTTATTAGCGCTTTCCTCGAAGCGCGTGCCCATTTCAGAGGGTTCAATATCACATGAGGACCGAGACTGAAAAGAGCAGGGGGGTTATCACACCTAGACGGTTGCAACATTGCCCCCAACACCCATTTTTATAGTTGAGTCGTTGGGAAGTCAGTTGTGGCCCCCTATGGGGAAACTCGCAGTGCGTAAATGAATTCATGAAGTTTGGGGTATGGCTCATGCCTCCATTGAATTCAATAATGATGAAAGGCCTTCGATTAATTCGTTGTGCTTGGATGGGCATGAAGTACGACCGGGTTGACTAGTTTTCTTCGAAATTCTGCTATTTTCGGTTTCTTCAAAGGTCGCCCGGCACGCTTTTTTTATGAACCTACCTGTCACACTAAAAATAACCTTTTAATGTTTTCTGCCCTCATTCTTGTTTGCAACTCCAAGGAACTCAGGCCTAACGCCCCCCCCCCCTTTTTTATTGCCGCTACGGAATCCAATCTAATTTGGCGCTATGATGGCTGTGTAGGCTCAACCTTCGGACCACTATTGCACCTGCTCTTGATGTTTCCCTCACGAATCCGCAACCTCTTGACTTTCTTTTTCTCGATTCCCTAATTCAAGAATCAAATTCCGTTTTCCCTGGAACAGGGGTTTTTGTGGCTTCAGTGGAGTTCAAAATTTAATAATGGGCTTTGGCGAGAAGGGAAGGCTCTGGCTAGGCACTAATTAGGCGCTTCTGGCGCCTAGCTTTTCGTCGTGTGATCTGGGTTATTACTTGGTGGAGATGTCAAGCCGTGTGGGGGGTTTTTGAGGGGATACCACGGGGGCGAAGGGGCCAATTTGTTTGCGAAATATAGGGGTTTGAGCGGGGTTGATGAGCTCTGTCGCTTCAATTTGAATGAATCACGAAATGAATTCGTATCGGTTGGTTCGGGGGGGTTTTCGGGGGGAAGGAGATCGAAGGAGTGGGTAGAAGAGAGCGATGAGCGAGGGAGGGGAGTAGGTATGAAATGATGAACCTTGGGATCGGTTTGGGGGTATCTTCACGTGGTAATATACGCTTATTGGGGGGTCTCATGCCCTGGGGCTATGGGTTGGGGGGAAGCAATCTAACCGGCAACCCAGCCATCGCAAAAACGGAGCGCGACCACTTCTTAAAGACGCCCCGGCTTCACCTTAGGATCCGTCCTTGGTATTCGATGGCTACACTACCTTTCAGTAATCTAACAACAACCACATTAGATGTGACATGGGTTGAGGTAAAAGTCCAAGTAAGCTTTAGGGTAAAGGGTTCTCACGGCCCCTGCTCACTAGTGTTGTCAAAAAATGGCTTCGCCTTGTTGATAGTGGATTAGTATATCCGAAAGTACTCTAATATTTTAATGTACATCGGGAAGTGCATATTTGCTGTTTTCAGTTTTTATGTTTAGTTTTTGGAATCTTAATCGAGTTCCTCCGCCTCCCTTTCTAACCATGACCTCATTTCCTACCCTAGGGCCAATCAACAAGTCTCAATAAACAACCTTCGTTTTCTGCGCTTCGAACCAAATTTGAAACCCAATCCTCCTTTTGGGCTCTCATCAGTTTAGAAGGGTGCGGGGGTCTCAATTGACCAGGGGGGCACGATTTTCGAGGGGAGCCACCCCCTTCGGAATGACGCCAATTCGAAACAACGGTGTGGAAAACAATGCAAAAAGTTACTGATTCAGATGGAAAAATGGATCGTGCAAATGACGGAAGCTGTCTTTCCGATGCAGGCCGCCCTGGGAATTGTTGGGAATTTTATCAACCTTCTCGTGTTGTTTTCGAGGCATATGCGGAGCAGGTGACGATTTTAGATCATATTGTATTGTTGTGGAAAGCTTAAATGAATTCCTTGGTGGATACGAAGATTAGAAAGTGCGAAATGATGGGCTTCATTTATTTGCGGATTTCGGAGATCCGAAAGTACTCATCTAGAAAAGGGACTAGCAAAATTACTAGATAAGAAAGCAATTAGCTAACATTATTAATAGGCACAAAACTTAACTAATTAAAATATATAATTTACACTGGTTTCCAGAGCAAATACTCTACTTGCATTTGCTGCAATTTCCGACATACTTTTTCTAATGTCAATGATACCCCATAATATGGCGAGGAGAGCAGTTTACATGTTTCGCGAATGTGATCCAGACATGAATGGTACTATTTTAGATCCGAATAACTTAACGTTTCCGATTTTTAGTCACGACTACAAAGTGCTACACCGAGTTTGCTCATTTCTACTTCGCCAACAAATCGCTCTTCACGTTCTTTCTCAACTGTTTTTCATCGTTTAGCACATGGTTTGGAACACAGACAGAAAGTTATATGTCAAATCCTAGGCTTATCGTGGTTGTCACCTTCGATCGTTTATGGGCAATCAAGTCGCCGTTTTCAGCTCGTAAAAATAGGTATGTCAAAGAAGATCTACAAATTTAATTGTCGATTTTTAGTTTCCGGTGTTCTTTCCGCGAGATTCTGATCGTACCTCTGCTCTTCTTCGTCTCGGTGATCACTACCATCCACTATTGCTTTAATATGCAAACGAAGCAAGAGAACGTAAGCATACTTAACATAAGATTTCGGTTAATTACTTGCATACTAATGAGTTTTATATTGGCAATTGTTTAGGGTAAATATTCACAGCGACTCATCCTACCAGAGAAGATGATTAATATTCTGATCACCATCCAGCTATTCCATGCGACATGTATTCCAGTGTTTTTACTACTTGTGCTGAACATGTTGCTTCTCTATTATCTTCGCAATCGCCGTCAGGTAACTAGTTAAAACTAGGTGAAAACCCAAAATTTGCTTTAGTATTTTGAGAGCGTTTCGATCAATCGGGAGAGTTCTCGCCGGACGACTAGATCGGATTCTGATGTGAGTTTTTGAAGACATTTTTTTAAATTGTATGTTGTATCGATATAAAAAAATAAAACGTATATTTTTTACAGTTCCAGGACGGTTCTCCACCACTGATCGAAGTTGAGCCACCAAATGTTCACTCTCTTGTAATCCCCAGCGGAAGCCAAGGTCAGGCCTATGCCGGACCGACCGGCCAATCGCGGAACGCGTTCCAAAGCGCTGTCGCGCAGTTGCGAGTTAATAGGTATATCCGTCCTTTTTAGGCAAAACGTCTTACTTCTTTTTAGCACTTCCCTGTGGAATCGACAGCTCTCAAAAGCCGAGCGTCATGTCACAATTACCGTGATCGCCATTGTATCCTGCTACATTATCACCCACCTTCCGTCCGCTGTAATTGTTGCTAGAATGTACGAAAAGAATCTTACAACCCTTAATTTGCGTTTAGGTATATCAATAGCATTGCCGGAAGCATGTACAGCCAAAAATCTTCATACACATGGGTGGCAATCTCAAACTTCTTCGTCATTTCCGGAAAAGTGACAAACTTTTTCCTCTTCTGCTTGAGCAGGTGGGAAGAATCAAATAGTTCTCTAGAAAATAAAATTCAGCAAGCACTTCCGCCACCACCTCAAGAACAAGCTGCTCATGTGGCGTCGAGCCAGTTGGAGCAGCAAGAAGGTAGGAAAAGTTGAGTATTAACTTTTTACTGACTTGTTGGTATAGGAAATGTTCTGTTGCTACACAGGTTGGAATCGTTGTGGCCCGTAAAGCCGTTATAAAATGTTATTAAAATGTTAAAGAGGTTAATGGAGCATGAGGCTTACATTTTTGGGAGAAGAGGCGCGTTGGAAACCGAGTTTTACCAAAAAAGCCCTGGTGCTCGGAATGGGGTGACTTTTGTGCATATCAAAAGTTCTGGAAAAGCAGAAAAACGACTTATTCCATTTTTCTGAACTGATATATCTTTAGCTGGATATTCAGACTTTAGGTTTAGAAATCTTGTATTTCTTGGAGGTGAGACCGCAATTAACTGGCGGATATTACATAAGGCAGTTTCACGTGATCCGGTCGTGAATAACTACGATTAATTTATTTAGTTCGTAAAGCTAAACGCGCTATTTTTCTCTCATCCACAAGAACTTTTGATAGATACCTAAATAAGCAAAAAATTCTCCGAGCACCATTAGTGCTTTTCGGGCCCCTTTTGAAAGCGCCCCTGCTTGATCATCTATATACATATAAACTTTGAAGCCCTTCGTTTCCCATGAATGTCTTATTTTAGACTTCACGGCCAAGGATCGAGCTTCACTCTGCGATGTCGAACACTGATAATGGGGGTTGTTCATCTGTGGGCTTGAGGCTGGTGGTGCCGGCTCCATCGCCGGTCCCCAGCGCCGTCGAGCTGCAAGTGAGTATCGACAACAAGTACAAAGAAGTACGAACGGCGTTCGCGAAAAAAGTGGCAGATCATCGGGGCTGTGTGCGCAGTAGAAATCTGTATGCTAAGGAACGTCTGAAGTGGGCGATCCTCGAAAGGATGGGTGTCAAAAATCGGGGATGTACTTTAGTTTAGCTTCAGATTTTAGCAAGCGATACAGTAGGTTTGTAGTGAAATCGGGCGACGAATATTATTGCTTGAAAAATCATATTCCCGACGACAATATTTTGCAAAGCATTTTTCTAAAGACGATTTTCCGAAACTAGGAATTTTTAAAAACTTTCACTGCATTTTATACCGTTGATAGCCTTCGTTTTGGTAGCTAGCGCCAAATTTTTCGAAAATTAAGTTTTCGACAAAAGTAGTTTTTGCACAATATATCGTTCGAAAATGATTTCTCACAAAAATTCTTGGACGTCATTTGGAATTTAATTGAAGCCTAAAACCTCACAACGAGTCTGAGTGAAAAAATAACGGGAAGAATTCATAATATATTCACTTAAACTTTCATAATTCACCCTTTTTTAGGATAATTCAAATGGTCTCCCCCGTACACGCTCTCTACCCCTCGAACGACAGGAATCTTATGTGGAAAGCGCAATTGCCCCCGTCTGATAGATTAATTATTTCTTGCCCACCCATACCCCAATTTCTGGTCCACCAAAACGTGTACATTTGATCTCCTGTCGGCCCCCCTTCTTGGTACATTGTCTCTACTTGTAGTTTTTACACGTCCGCAGTTCAAATAAACTTTATTACCGTATCGGATGAGGAATCATACAACCGAAATAGAGAAAATAACACACGTAAGGATTATGGCTTGATTTTGGCATCGTGGCGCGTTGCGTGGAAAGATGGGGAGCGGTTAGAATCGGGTCTAGCATCATATACAAATATCCGCGGAATCGGGGGAATAGAAATTGGTGGCATTTGATGAGACCACGGGGGGATATGCACATTCAACTGAGGAAATGACAAGGGTAACTAACTGAAAGCAAATCGAATCAAGACTATCGTGTCATAGTAGAAGCTCAAATAATCAGTAACGTACAAAATGATAACAGACAAGGGATCAACGAATGTAAAAACTTAATGCATGACTGTATTGCAATCGATATCGGCGACCGGGGATTCTTGCAAAATAATCTCGCGTACAAGACGCTCCTGAGGGCGGGCGTAGACGGATGCTTGAAGCAGGACGTGAGCACGATGCTTGTGAGCCACACGGATCAGATGCTGCGAAATCGACACCAGAGCACCGTATCGCAGAGGAGCACGGTGGCCAACCTACAAAGGAACATTCTCGAAGTATTTTTGAGATTTCGAAATCCGTAAAAAAAATCTAGGGAAATCGCCGATTGTTGCTTGCCCGTTCCACCTAGCTGTCTCTCAAATTTCTGGGCGTAGGCCACGCTTTTTGCAGTGCCAGACAACCATCGCGATGGAATCAATCCCAACACTCCTCGGTTTCGAAACCATACCTTTTTGCGCAGATAATCCATCAGGTAGTTCGTATACTTTGCCTTGTCTTCCAGGAGCTCCGGCGTTGAGTGGGTCATAAGCACTAAAGAGTCACATTAAATGTAAAGAAAGGGTGGACTTACTCATTTCATGGAAAAGTAAAGCCTTCAGGAAGAGGTATTCCGTTTGATCGACATTTTCACGTTTCCATGGGTCGCAGACACTAAAAAAGGCTTGCTGATGTGGGAATCGAAGTGTTTCGTAGGCAGTATTGCTGCGAGCTGATCTACACACTAATGGTAGAACCCATTGCCATTTTTTTGATCGATTAATCCCCCATTCGTTCAAAACGTTATAACTAACTTGAAAAAGACTGTAGGGAGGATGGAGACTGGAGAAATGCCGTCAGGTAGCATTAGCGTCGAATGACCATTCACCACCGAGTCAAAGGAGAGAACGGCGATTGATAAAGGCAACGCGACACGTTTGATCACCATACACTAAAAAGTTTGGATTATATTTGGATCGTAAGATTTTGAAGGCTTATTTTTCTCATATTCGTACCTTATCCTCAAACGGCAACGCATTAAAAAGCGAAAATCGCTTCATATATTCAACAGCACAGATCAAGTCGAGACATAACCATTCCGAGAGATCCCGACAGGATGGCGATTCGACGCATGGACCACGTGAAGGAGAAATCCTCGGGTGATTCATCCAATCCGTCACCGTCTACAGTAATTGGTTTAATTTTGCTGCACCGCAACTTACATTGAACTGCTCCACCCGGTCGAGTAGTGAAGTTTGCGCCAGGATCGAGAAAAGGCCTAGCTCTTGTTTGTACGGGTCGAAATCGCTGTTGCGGAGGACTTTGATCTTTTCGTCGATCTGGAAAATACTGAAGGTCCGATCCGATTATTTAATTAAATTACCTCTCCAAGGCTGGATATACAGTAGTTATAAATAGCCATGTCGAGCTGAGGACTGCTGCTCACCTCCGAATTATCAGAAGAAATCGGGCCTAAAGTCACGAATTGATCAAAATTATCAAAATCCTCACTTTCAGCCGGTGAATATTGCTGAATTTGCGGCATTTCTTGCACTTTTGGCACTGTCCATTCTTTTGAGGTAGAAACAGCTATATGATTGGTTAAGGTTTTTTAAGCGCTTGTCCTACTTTCTGGTCGCATCCCCTGCTGAATACACTTCAGAAATCTGCATTGGCGGCATTTGATCTTGGCAGCTAAAAAACAGACGTGCTTGTTTGGTTTTTGATTCGGATTTGCAGGAAACCGGAACCAAATCTGCCGTTTAATACTCACGGATTTTGCCGCTGTTCAGGCATTGGCCGTCCCCCTTGATACACTTGTAATTCTTTGCGGAGATTACGGTGCGGCGGAAGAATGTTTTGCAGGAATTGCATGATGGAGTCTTAATAAGAAAAAGTTATGAAATTATTTCTAGTTCGATACCTCGTAATGATATCCAGAAGCCGCACCATGGCAGATTGCACAAGGCTTGTCGAAAACCCTTTTTCGCTGAGAATTTTCCTAAGATAATATTTTACCATAAAGCTTGGGGTCTTACCTGTTCCGCTAATGATAGTCTGGAAGTTGTTGGCTCTGCTTGAGGCTGGAAATGATGGAGCACGGCGGCTTCTGGGGACTTGGCTTCACTTTTTGCCGAACCAGTAATAAGCTCGCCGCATTCGGAAAGTGCAACGACATCAAGCATCGGAGTAGCACCGAGCTCTATAAAATAAATAGATTTTAATATTGAAACTTAAAGATTTAAAAATTAAGGGTAAGGATTTTAAGCCGCCAATAACCCTGGCCCTCAAACCAGACCGACCAGCCGGGAAGAATAATTTTGACAACGAAGATTTACTTGGGAGATGCCATTCGGGAATAACGTGCTCGTTTCTTGGCATCGAATAGGGGATGTTCCAAGCAAGACTCTAATGTGTTCGAGCGGATCTTGCTTTGCGGCAATCAATCGATCCAAAATTTGGCTCGGCCCAAAATTGCAATGAGGGATAGGAACGGCTGCTGCCGAAATGACCGCAAAAGAAAAAGATCCAAAACGGGGTGGTAGAAGGAGAGGGGGGCTTTTTGGAAGTCGCGTTCTAGTACTGGCCGAGGTCGTGGCTAGCAAGAGTTCTAGAACTATTGAGCTTTCTAGTGGTGGTGTGTTACCTTGAAAAATTATATTTTGGAACAGTAAGAAATTGCTTGCGCTTAGGAAGATTAAATTCAGGTACATAGCAGCTTTTAAGATTATTTTAGGATCTTAGACGATAGTTAATGCAATTTTAAAGTTCTGAATTTTTATATAATCGTGTATGCGGAATAATAATTGAGCTCTTAAGCGTGATATAATTCGTTTTACGAAAGTCTTGTATAGATTGGCATACAAATAAGAATAGAGATTGTAAGCGGTTGGAATTTCTAATATCCAAAAAAGGCAGATGTAACAAAGTCCACAGTACCAAATCACAAAAAGAGTATGAACTGAAGTAACTCCCCCACCCCAAGTTCATTGGCCAATAGGCATCAATGATCTTTGCTACTCTACCCAAACACCGTTTTTTTTTGCAAAAAGAGGAGTGTACTGGGGTTGCAAGAATTGAGGTTTTCTCGACAAGGATGGGATTTGTGGGTTTCGCGCGGCGCGAATGGTGTTGGGGAAGTCAGTCGTTCGGAGGCTAGTTGGACACTCGGTGTCCGCAAACAAAACGAGGAGGGACCACCCCGGTTTTCCCCGGGCGATCCGTCTTTGGCCCAAAAAAAGAAACACCCCTCCGCGCGTTGTGCTATTGCGCTAACGCGCTGGTTGCTCTCGCGCACCCTGGGCCCCGGCTTGCAGGAATACAAATATCGGCGAAAAAATGTAGCACATTGTTATCGTGCACCGCGCGGGGTCGCAGGAACATTGGGTGCAATGCTCTTGTAGAGGTGGGTGTACTTTGCACTTTTTTGCAGGGGGAGATGAGAGTTACGGAATGTGGTACTAGAGGTTCCGATTTGGTGTAAAGGCCTTATCGAGGGCCAAAAATAATATTAAGACGGTAAGTTATTTAGAAATCATGAGGGTTGTATGAAGTCGTGAAATTTACGATATTGAGAAAAAGGGCAGATAAAAAAACTAATTGTTTATCAGAATTAAGCTACCCTCTTAACCATCACCATTCCCTTAAAAATAACTCACTTGTCATCTCTAGCAACAACTGCTGTATAAGTGGTGTTAGATCGACCGTCGGTAACATGGTCATCTGGGCAGCGTGAGCTGCAACCTGGAGCTGTGATTCTTGCCTGAAAAATGAAATTAAGTGTTTTACTACAACTGGCCTTGCAAAAAATTGAAAAAAATATAAATTTCAGATGTTAGTAGAGTCTACACTTCAAAGTCACATCTGTACCGTACCCGAGCGGCTTGAAGAAGCTGTGCAGTTGGTCGCCCATCGGATGGCCAAATGAAACGGCGTTGATGCCGGCCCCGAGTGAAATCGGAGACGGTAGCATGGTGCTGAATTCAACGATTAGGAAGCGTTTATGCTAATACGCACATATATTGAAATTGGCAAATGCAAAATGGGTGCTGTCTATCAATACAACCTAATCCTAGTCATCAAACCTCGGTACACAACCTAGCAAAGCAATTTCTAAGGTAATACCGAACTGACTGCAAGAGGCAACAAGTTTTTGGCGGTGTTTTAATCCAACCTCTGCGCGTTATTAAAGTTCCGGGATGTTGTAAATCCCGGCTTTGCCACCCACTCTGACCCAAAAAAAACCTATGGAAGCCACGTGCGTTGTTTTTGAGGAGCCGCTCCTCGAAAAACTGGACCTGATTGAGACGTTTCGGTGGTACGAACGGGAGTGGATATTTGGAGGGGGATGGAGGAGCGCGACGGCTCCTGTATACCGTATTCGCGATGTTTCAGCGCGCCGGCCACGCAATTTTTGTCGTCAAAACAATCAAATTTGGAGGGGGTGATTGGGAGGAGTTTTGGGGGTGAATAAATAGATGTTGAATTTTGGTTTTTGGAGAACCGAAAATGAAACCGAAAAAATTAAAATTGGGGTGAAAGGGGCCGGCAAGTCATGCTTGTGCCTGTTGCCAAAAATCTAAAAGTAAACATATTGTTGTACTTTTATAAAGTAGATTAATCTATTCGCAAAGCTACATTGAAAAACGGTCCTTAAATAACATTGAAAAGTTTAAAGGTGCTAGAGCCCAATTGGAAGTCAACAGCATTCTGAGAGCAAAAGTCCTATTTCCTAAAAAGAGTGATTTCTGGTGGCTTGGTGGCAAAACCCCGATAACTTCCAGATCAATTCAATGATCGGGCCATAAAGCCTGTAGCCTCTCCCCTCATCCGGGTGGGACTGTTTGGCTCGGGGAACGAATCGAGTATTTTTTGCAGTCACCTCCCGAAAGTCACGTCGCTATCACAAAATTTCGGGGCGCACAGTCGCTCCTCGAAAAACCTATTGATGGGTGCCCTGACCGAGAACACAAAGAGGCAACGGCTAGGGTGAAGAGGAGCCTGAGGTATGCGTGCCAAACCAGGCGCCATTTTTCCCCCAGCCACCCGACCCATATGCGCTGATAAGGGTGAATGACCAGACACGTTATTTCTATTCGAGCACTGATCGTTGTTTACAGTAAGGTAGAAGGTCGCAAAAACAGTTACGGACCGTTTTTTATAAGACCAATTGAAAAGCTCGCGCCAAATCGACCAGATCTTTCCCCCCGAAAGTGGTCATAATGGAACAGGAAAGATTTAGTTGGGGCTCGATCACAAAAGCCACTTTAACCTCCTCGAAACACCGACAACATCCGGTGGGTGAGAACGCGAATGCCATCCAATCTCAATAGCCGCCAAGCCCGCCTCTTCCATTTTTCGTTTTGAACTCCCAAACACTAATGGTCCCTGTGGTCTGGCAAAAAGCACCCCAGGGCATCGCGGCAACAAATTTGATGCGAATCAAAGATTTTGGGGAGCTTTTTCGGGGATGGTTGCCGGAGCAGGAAGTGAGCTGGCGGTACAGGGTGCCGTCCAAAGTTTACGTTTCGATGGCCGGCTGGCGGTGTGGGAGAAATGCAAATTGAGGGTGAAGAGACTAGAGTGGTGGAAGCGATGCACGGCGGTTACGTGGGAATAACGGTGTTGCGGAAGGGATATCTATTGCAGCGAAGAGGAGGAGCTGGAAGTAAATTATGTGGATGACTTTACAAGAAAAAGTTATCTTGAAGAATGTCGCTTTAAAGCTGTACGTTGCCAAAATTCACATTTTTGTCAACAGATTCCTGAAAAAAGCAGACGTGTGTAGCTGCAAACTGCTAAAAGTTAAATTTTGTGGGTGGCTTCCAAAAGTGCTAGAAATGTCTAAGAATTAAGAAAAAGAGCTTCAGGCCGCTAAATGCGTTACGTAAAATGAAAAGTACAAAAAGCAGTCAGCAAAACCTGCAAACGTACACCCTAAAATGTTTATTTTGGGCCTCTAGCTGTAGCTTGCCAACCCCCGAAAATTCGGCTACAGCTTAGCAGCCCCTGGAAGAAGCGGCGCATCGACTACGGCGAAGCGCGATAACGAGTGTACGCGATGTGTTCGCAAGGGGGAAAGTCTCAAAAATAAGGTGGCGATGTGCAAGTGGAGGGAGGAGGTTGGAGCGACAGTCCATCCCAGAGCTCTGCATCCCCCCGCACTAGACAGCGATTCGGTCCGGCCCGAGAACTATTCGCTGTGTCAGCTGAGCTTCTCCAATTCGCGAAAACATTGGTACGGTATCCAGCAGAAAGGGGGGGGGGTTGTTTGCCCCCGGTGGTAACCGTTCCGACCCACCACTATCAAGTTCGATTTGGTGTTGAGATGGAGCGTGGAACGTTTCCGCTGAAAAGGTTGGGGGCATGAACAGAGCAGGCAGCAAGAGTTCCCGAGTTGGAACGGGAACTGTGATGGGTGGTGAAAACATCTTTGTCACAGCACAGTACCATCGCCACCCAACTCGGCGGATCGGGATACGTGGGGAAATGGCATGTATTCGGGTTGGACGAGCGTTACAAAGCGTCTTTGTACATGGCCAATGAGGAAGTTCAGTGTTGGGATGAAGGCTCGGGGCTATCGGGTGGTGATTAGGTGATAAATACACTCAGCAAAAAAACGTTTTGAAAGATACTCTTCAGCATTAAAAAATAAAATGAGAATGAATTGCTTAGCTTTTAATAGGGAAAGTAATAATTAGAATTCTTACTCTTTAAGCGAGAAATCAAACTTGTATATTTATGTTCTTGTATTTAGTCTTTCATCGACCGGCAGTCCGAATTTCCGGCTGATTTTTAGCATGAAGATGGAGAAACAAAAAATTTGTTTGACGAAAAACTTGTTTTTGTTACTGTTTTGCAAAATCTTTCATTTAACGATTTTACATGTAATTAACAACCCTTAACATATTGCACGATGAAAGATGTCAAAACGGATTAAGGATCCTTATTCCCATTGTTCAAAATGTAAAATTTGAAGCAAAAGCCCCCCAAACCCGAATATTGCCAAACACCAAGAAACCACACCGATGTGGAAATCGAACGATACGTACAGTTGGTGTCCTTGATGCGGGGGAAAGGAAGTTGGAGAACGAAATGAGCCGGGACACGTCTTGTGATGGGCGGGCACCACATCGCGCTCGTCTCACTCGCTGATTCGCCCCCTTGCTCTATCGTGATCGCGCTGGATCATCCCTCAAGTTTACGGTATTATTCCAACCAAATATCCGCCTCCCCTCTCCAGAATTGCAAAATTCCAGCCGTCGCATGCACCAGCCCCAAAAAAGGTCGAGTAAATCCCTGAGGGTACGGTAGGAGATTAGCGCTGTACATTCCATATTTTTCAGTGTTGCGCAAAAAGCACTAATGCGGGAACGCGGATTATAGAAATATGACCGAAGAATAAGGCTTAAGGTTAGCACCAAGTTGCAAAAAATAGGCCGAGTAAGAGAAAAACGCGCCTTTTCATTTTGCGAGAAATTAATATGTTAATTCGATCAAACATATCCACAAGCAATCCTATAGAAAAATTCCCGCCATATGACTAATCCGAGGGATACGGTAGACCGCTGCCTTTTTTCGGCACAGTATCCAAATCGGGCGGCAAACGTCAAAGGGGCGATGATCGGTGTTCCGAATATTTATGTAATAAACGGTGCCGCCAATTCGTATAGTTTTGGGAGCGGGAAAGGGTGGACGGTGCTCGGCAAATCAGTTCCCTTGCATCTGATTCATAACCAGCGCTGCATTAATTTCAAAGCCGGGCCGCTCGGGCGTCAAAACACGGTTGTTGGAACTGTCATCAATAAGTGGAGGGCAACAAATGTGAATTGGAAGAATTCAAAGGTGTTATAGACCTGCTGCATTGATCAATTCTATGGTAATTGTGGATATAAAGAACTGACAAGCCAAAATTATTATCCAAAATGAAAATGTTTGGTCGGAATGGATTCTTTTCAAACGCCAGATGTAACCTCGAATTTGAAGAATTGATGAATGCAAACGAGAAATTGTTTAGACAATGATCAGACTGGGCAAAACTGATTATACAAAAATTGGAAATGTTTTATGTGACTGGATTTTGTATAAAATTCTGCGAAACCTGGAAAATGAGGAATTTAGGAATTGAAATGGGGAATTGTTTATATAACGTCTAGACAGGACAAAATTATGTGGACCTAAAAAAGTTTCATAAGTCATAAGAAACGATAACATGGAATAATGATAATACTATAAAGGGCATGCGGAAATGCTGATTGAACGACACCCGACCCAAGACACCGGATGTAAAGCGCAACGACCAAAAAAACGAGCCGCGAGAGAACGCTGAGCGCTTTGACCGAACGCACACGGGGGGTCGCGCAGAAAGATCGGAGCCCGGGCCGCCTATTTGCCTGTAACAAGGCGAGAGCCAACATGATGCGGGGAGGGCCCAGGGCCCGCAAACAGAGCATACTCCAGGCTGCGCCGGCGGGACGACCTCCAGTCTCTTGCCTGCACAGCCTACGGTGTAGTTAGGACTGTGTCGGAATTCTGAAGAGATTGTGTACTCGCACCGCCCTTCCCTTCCATTCCCTCCCACTACCACCCCCACGGCTTGCTTAGGCTGCTGAATGTGTGTATGTGGTGTCGAAAGGTCGAGAGTTGGAAAGAAGGCGGGGGGAAACCGATTTGAGGTCGGCGATGAGGAATGATCGGGTGATGGACTGTTTCGGGGGAAATTAGTCATGGTAAGTAAATAATCAAAGAAGCTAAGGAATTTTTCTGTTCACCTTAATAACGACTATAAATACTTCGTGGACGGTGCCACGTTTAATGCACGAAATAAATGTGGCACTGATATTGATGTTAAGTACTGATATTAATAGATATTTAGAAAACCCAGAACATCCAGCTCCTTAGGCTTGCCAAACCCATTTCAAAGTTCAAAGAATACAACAGCCAGACACCGTAATAACCACACGGCCCCTGCTC